ATCATGTGCCACTAAAGCATAATCACGTATGAAACGAGTCCACCACATCCAAGACAAGAAGATGGTATCTACAGCCGTCAAGCGAAAGCGTGTCAAACCGACTGCAGCAAAGAGTGTGTGCTGTGCTTCCAATATCCGCCTGTCACTCTACACTGCGACGTTGCACTAGGAATATGGAATACCAGTGTTGCCCCAGTTAAATAAAAATAATAATTTGAATTTATACATTCCAATTTCGAACCAATTTTCCGTTAAGTGGCATGTCTATTTTCTATTGACATCTATGGTTTTGGAAGTGATATTTTTTTGTGTGTTAGTAATTGATATTTGGTGAAGGTTTCTTGTTAAGGGTGGTAGAGAATATAATATGTGCTATTAAGGCACCAGCTCTATATGAATATGATATCGGCTTCTTATTGTTTTAGTCTTAAATGTGATTACACCATCTACACTTTCTAAAATCTTTCATCCACATCTCTATAATAGCTTTGCACACAAAAACAATAAAAGTCCTGCCATCTTGGTTTCGGTTTCTCCGTTTTCGGTTTACTTATAAAACATTATAAACATTCAAACAATTTCAATCCCAATGACCTTAAACAAACCGACAATAAAACAAAGATTCGAATTTTGAAACAAAAGTTTCTTTAATGGGGCTATTACCATACGCCATGAGAAGGCACATTCGAATAAAGTTCGCGAACAGTATCAAGTTAATTCGAGCTCATTAATATTATTATTCAGAATGGCAACCCTGCAGTACTGCCGGAAGCTTTGATCGGCGTCAAACGCCGCGACCGTTTGACATGACTCTGTTACACGAGTTGCAGTGTTTGATAGTTGGCTGTACACTATACAAACTAACCGCATGGTTTGTTCGCTCTCTTTTTGTTTGGAAAGTGTTTGTTGAATGTCACAGGTATTATTGACGAGAGTTTTAGAAATGACTAATAATAGCTCAAAATCCCGTTTTAAACCTTTGAGTACCGGCATTATAGACACAATTAAAGAACAATAGGTTGCGGTCACCGGTGTCCTCGTGGTGTTTGATAGTTTAGACGACCTTCACCCAGATGCTTATTTGATGAAACTTATTTTATATTCAATTTAATATATCAATAATTATATTGAACTAGCTACTTCCGCGCGGTTTCACAGTCAGACGCTCTGCTCAGCTCCTATTGGTCGTAGCGTGATGTTTTATAGCCTATAGCCATTCTCGATAAATGCGCTATCCAACACAAAAAGAATTATTTAAATCAGACTTGTAGTTACGGAGATTAGCGCGTTCAAACAAATAAACAAAAAAACAAACTCTTCCGCTATCGTATAAGATATGAGTTGCCTAGTAAATTTCAGTCCAGGATATAATTAATTAATAATTTAAAAAAATATTACTCTTTTAATTTTACCCGTTTGACTATTAAACAAATTCAATTCCAATCGAAAGTAAGTAGTCGTGATCATTAGCATTGATTTCGTTTTTTTTTTAATCTCTATAATACTTATGGAGTTATGGCACTGAGTCTGAAATTGAATCCGGTGTACGACAATAGGCCCTAGTATATAAGTAAGGTAATGCGTTGCGTATTACATTATACATGCTCATCTCTGCCTACCCCATTGTACGTATGCATCTGCCAGCTATTTACCTATTTATACAAACGAGAATTAACATGAATTATTTCACATTACAATGTTTAAAAAATGGCTCAATTTCATATAAAATATAATAGTGTTTGTATAAATGCAACACGAAACTTTAATTAAAGTATTGTATCTACAGTACAATGCAGTTAATATTAATGACCAGTTACCTGACGTGTGAATCCACAATGCATACATATTCGATGCCCATACATTGCTCGCGACACGTTAGTGGATGCCATAAAATTTTGATTGGTCTACAGATCATTTTATTAAACTTTGCAGATAAAAAGAGCTTTATAACATTATATTACTTAAAAAAAATACAATAATAATGGCCGCAAAACAAAAAATGGCCATAAAAATTCAGAAACATTTACTCAGAACCCCCGTCTATTTAAACAAACCACTCAAAGATTATGAACTAAATAACGTCAACTTCGCAACGAAAAACACTTTAGTTAACTGATTGTCCTTAAAAAAGGTTTTATTCAGCTGCAGGCATTTTCCCATCATTAACGTTTTTTTACTAAGGGGAAGTGCTAATAGCGTCAATGGTGAATGCCGGGAAAGGGGAGTTCAAAGAAAAAGGGATGCAAAAAGTTGAAGGTTTACCGGGAAGTTGAGTTATTGTAGGGGATAAAAGGGGTAGCTTGTGGTAATCTGCAAACGTGGGCCATACATGATGTTAATAGCTGTTACTTATAAGTAATTGAGAGGGGAGCAACTTAGTCAGTTAAGTTGGTGTTTTGTCGTAAAAACTTCAGTACGAATGAGCGAGCTACGAATACTTTAGAAAACGAAGAATATGTTTTGTTATGGGACCATGAATATAATATAACTAGTATTCTTAGACCAAATTTCCTAGCGTTACAAGCTTCTATAATCACTCTTTGAAGAGTTACGAGGTCGTGTTTATATACATAGTCTTATTACTCTTATGACGGCTCTAATAGTCCACGGTAGAAAAACAGGTAGTTCAGAATTGCAGCCAATTCTCCCAAACTCATAATTTAGGTACACTAACTTTGATGAAGAAATTAAGACAGAAAATAGCTAAAACGCCCCTACCCAAATGAATTTAAACATTAAAATTAACCATTCCACTAAAATGATAGAGTAATAAAAATTTGTACGTAATAACATTAATGTTTCGGGTCTAAAACAGCACCGTAATAATAGTTAAGTATTGCAACATTGCTCGCTAGTGTTGCCAGCGTATAAACATTACTTTTGCTGCAATGAACCGTTGAGATCTCTAGTCGATAAGCCTTAGCGTTAAAAGCGCAATAGCACGAACCATTCGTGTGCAATATAACCGGTGTTATAATTGGTGTAAGAAACGAATAGCGTTTTAAGATTTTTTTGTTGCTTATCTAGGCTCAACATAGGTAGTTTTATCGACACTAAAAAGGCCGTTTTGCGCCTACAACGTGCCTAAACTTTGTAGATAAGAACTATGAGCTAATAATCCTTTGTGAGTTTCCAGAATCTATAATTCCATACTTAGTAAATACGTACATATATACCTACTTTAGTCTACTGCTATGCCAATACGTTCCTGTGGCTTCGCAATCGTAACAACTCTTAAAAATAGTCTAGACGCTACGAAGAAACTGTTGTTGATTACTGCTGACGATTTCTGTACTGTAGATTTGTTATTATTATCTATTTAATTCGGGCAGTATTATCAATTACTTAATTTAGTTGAGACAACTGATAAATGCTCGTATCGTATTTTTCTATCAGTGGTTAATTCTATGTCTGTATCTTATTTAGTCACTAAACTTTTATCTTTCGTACAACATTAGTCCATTGTTAGTAACAATGTTCTTAACATACATACTTCCATTAAAAACTAAAGTTTAGTTTGCGAAGGTATATACGAGCTAAGCGATTGATATCAAATATCAATTGACAAATCTCTTAGAACAAATTTATCAAACAAAATTCACGCTATATACAGAACAATAATACTTAAGTAACAATTGAAAATCAATAATCAATATTTCAAACAAAAACATAACATTAATAACAAAATCTGTGACCCAACAAAAATTGAGTGTTAAAGTGAAAAAGAAAAACGGATATTATTTGATCGTACGATATATCACGGAATAGGAATGGGGAGTGCGAAAATAAACTCCGCTCCCAATATCAAATGAAAAATCAATCCATCAAATCCAATAAAAAATCTAGAGCAAGTTAATATTTCGGATTTTATATTATGGTAGATACTATTTATAGTTCTACATAGGTATGTGTAGGTAGGGTGGTTGGCCTTTTCTACCCATAATCTTATAGGAAGTCTTATACTTTTTATTACCTATTGTTTTTTATTATTAAAACTGAAGGGTTTGTTTCTTTGAAAACGCTACTCTCCCGAACTACTAGTTCGAATTGAATAATTATTTTGTGTTTGATAGAGCATTTATCGAGGAATAGGTAGGTAGTATAACACTATAAAACATAAGGCTACAATCAATATGAGTCGAGTAGAGCGGGTTAAACCGCGCAGAATTAGATATCTAAGTAGTATAAGCATGCGTCAGTTGTCCATAATACGAATAAAGTATCTAAATTATATTATGTTTTATTTATTTCCCCTCACCACTTCATCTATACAATTTTATTTGTATTCAGACATAATTAGGTACTTTTATAAACATAATTATAGCAATGAATATTAATAGATGCACATGTATCTTCCATGATCACAGTTTTCGATAGTTTGACTATTATTTTATTGATTCTTATTACATTTATTTGGACCTGCAAACTTGTATGATCTCTCGTTCTATATTTTTTCTTCAACATCTTTTACGTAACATCACGCTTTTTATCCCCGAAGGTAGGCAGAGATGCACGGCACTTAATGCAACTGTACAATGTGACACCAACTTTTCACCATTTATTTTATGAGTCCCATAGGGGGTGAGCCTTTGTCATATACCGGGCACAATTCCAGACTCCGTGCTACTGAGATTTTTTTAACCCTGTAGTACTTTGCCCGACCCGGGAATCGAACCCGAGACCCCTTGCCCGGCAGTCGCACTTGCGACCACTCGGCCAACGAGACAGTCTGCTTAGTTACTAACGGTCAGTAGTACCCAGTGTTTTTACAAATAGGTAAATTAAGTGGTTTCCTGGTATTCACCTACCATCACTTCATTTTATCAACATTAATTAACGGCAAATCTATAGAATACATAAATAAATAGGATTGTAGGATAGGATTTTTTGTAACGATAGGTTTTAATATTTCAAAACGAAAAAAAAATGTCATGGCTGTAAGTGTAAATTTTATGTCAAGTTGACAATGACGATCGACGTTTGACGTTGTTTTGTTTGTTGTTTCAGCTGTATAGCGTAAACGTAACCTTTTTAGCAAAATATTAAACCAACGTTATTAGCAATTATAATACTATATTCAAAGTAATAAAACTACATACACACCATATGAATATCATTTTAAGGCCGGGTAAGTTTTAAGAGGTTATATTCTGAACAAATTCGAAAGTTCTAGTTTTCGTCAAATTAATTCTTTGTAATAATTGTCTCAGGTGTCTTCAACATCCATAGAAATATGTCCGAAATGGTAGGAATCGTTGAATACACTATACGTAACAAATTGCAATCCTTACTTGACACTAAACATTTGGATGTGATCAATGAATCCCATATGCATAATGTGCCGAAAGGAGCCGAGACGCACTTTAAAGTAGTAGTTGTTTCTGATAAATTTGAAGGATTGCCATTAATCAAGGTAAGTAAACTAGCTGTAGCAAAAGCAAGTAACAATATAAGTAAAAAATAATAATCTAAAACTAACATGACTACCTGTGTCTATGATTGGTGTAACAGGTACCTACTGTCTTATTAGTTTTGCTACCTACTCTATATTCTATTAATGGTAATATTATATAGAATGTTTTAACCCTTTTCCCCTCATTTCTTTCCCATGGTGTCTGTCTTTGTTTAACCGCTTGTGATAATATGAGACACTATAGAAAATACCTCGCATGGATCTACGTTTAGATAGACACACAATGGGTTTAAAACCCCATACAAGAACCATATGTACCCCATATAGTTCATAAAAATTAAACCCATATGTAGTTATTTAGCTAGATAGTTCTAGGCCTCTGTTTACCATATCAGTTATGTGCAGGAATCATCATCAACAGCAGGAAGCCGTCCACTGCTGGACACAAAAGCCTCCACCTTAGTCCTCCACGTGTGCAGGAATGATAATTAAAAATTATGACCATTTTAACTAGACTATGTTTGAAAGAATGCAATATTTTTATCTATACCTTTTGTCTATTTTTCAGAGACATCGCTTAGTCAATGACATTCTGAAAGATGAACTCCAGAGTGGAGTCCATGCCTTATCCATAATAGCTAAAACTCCCCAGCAATGGGATTGTAGTGACCAAGTCGTTGAAAGTAGTCCTACTTGCAAAGGTGGATTTGGAAAGTAGTTTCTATTTAATAATAAATTATAATAAATGTTATTGTTTTACTTAGAATAAATGTTGATTTTAATTCTTCTTGTTTTATTATGTTGGCTAAAATCTCTTCATATCTCAGCAGATATGGTTCCTGCGGTCAGCTACCAAGCATACTGGTTAGGTTAGGTTAGGACTAGTAAAATAAGAGAGTACTTATCTAAAATTCTAAAGTAAAACGAATTATCACCTATCGGACCAAAAGCATTTAATTTTGTGGACCCATTAGTAAAATAGTTCTTGAGCTATGCTTCAGTACAAAGAGGCCTGCATACCCCAAATAGATACCAGGCCCGTATGAAGTTTTTTCTTTTTATAAGGATTGTTCTATATCAAGGATGTATAATATAATACTAATATACTGTAAAATGAGGTGAATAGGATTCGAGAGTTGAATAAATGTTAGAATATTTTCTCAACATTTATTCACCCCTCTTCTGTATCCATTCACCCCTCGAATACTATTCACCCTGTTTTACCGTTACTCACAAAAATAATACCCAGCTGCACAGGTGTCTGTATTTATTGTTGGGAAAAATAATCATTTATTGATCACAAAACCATTCCATATAGAACAAAAACAAAAAAATATGACGACAAAAGCTTTATTCTTAATACCATTTCTTATAATTCTAATTGGACTTTCAACAGATCAATATTACTATCATAGATGACAATTCCATACAAATATTAATGCAACTATGTAATACTCATTTAATACAACTTAACTCCATGTTCAACTTATCATACACATTCAGTTTCTTACAATACTAGCCATTCCAATTAACAACAATGATATTATTTGAAAACTGCACATCATGTACTTTTAAAGTATAAACAATATTTCAAGAATGATTTACAATATTAAAATTCGAGATATCCATTCATAACATGTTGAATGCACCATAATTTTAATGGCAAAATATTGTACTTCACATTATAATTTTATAGGATAAATTGTATAATATTAATATGTTTTTCTCCTAAAAATATTTTTTTGATCAACATTTTGTTCAATAATTTTGTTACTTGATTTACATACAATTGTCTAAAGAATTTATAATCTTAGAGGCCTAATTTTACAATGGCAAAAAGCTAGCAAACTTTTTGAGCCTTAAATACTGATTGATTATAATGATTTATATTTTTATATTAATTAGTATTGTCTTGGAGTACAACGTTGTACAGTGGGTTTCAAATAGTTCACTTTGATCACTTTCACTGCACTCATTTCATTCATTCATTTCACACCGCGATTAACGGTGTTAGTTGTATCAGAGGTTGAAATTATCCAATCGTAGCTTGCCCTCATTTTCAGTCAGGTAGAGCAAGTCTGCCATGGTCTGCTCGCAGATAGCTTCTTCTGCTTTTTCTGACATCTGAAAAAATACAAGTTTTGTTTAAAAATTGCTCAGTTAGTATTTTAGAACATAAATGGAACATTCCACATGAACATTGACAGGGTCGGATCGGTCCTAGAAGTTTCGCCTTTTTAGCCGCTTGAATGCCCGTATATGAGACACAATAGAAAATAGTAAAATACATTGTGTGTGTGGATCCACAATTGGACACCTGGAACACCAGAGGCGTTACAAGTGCGTTACCGGCCTTGGGGATTAGGAGTTTGAGGATCGTTGGGGATTCAGAAATTGGGGAAGGGGAAGGTAATTGAGCCTCCGGTCAAAGACAGTTTAGACACACGACGGGTTATCAATTCGTTATTTCGCCCTTGCTTGGTCAGCACCACCAAACTGACATCAACTCTTACTTCTAATTTTAATTCCGTTATACAAAAACAGGTAAAACGAATATTCGTCATACACTTACCGGTCTATACGTAAACTCGCTAGACGGTGCATGTTTAAAATTAGGTCCAAAGTTCACGCTGACTGTGACATTCCTAAACAATGACACAGTAGGATAGTAGCAGCCTTCGTAAATGTCCAGGAATGCTTCGCCTTGACATTCTCCATTCTTGAAGTAATAGATCTTACTCCCAGGTAAAGGTTTGAGATTGTTTAGAGATTCTTGTATGTTATCCTTATCTTCGTAATAGAGATGGCTCTTGAACTTTACTAGTGGCTGAAAAGAAGCAAACATAAGGCAATTAGATTACTAACAACAACATCAATCTCTTACAAGCAGGATTTCAGAACCAGGCAGAGTTTTTTGTTTTATAAACAAGAAAAATATGCACACTTACAAGCTCAAAAAATAATCATGCTGTCATACACTTACCCTGTCCTTATAAGTATTCGGCGTATATTTAGTGGTGGCACTCTGTGGCAAAACGATAAGGAAACCTAGCGTGTCGCCCTCGCCGTACCCATTGCTGTAGTGCTTGCCTCTAGACTCGTGAAACCTGGACAGTGTTAAATTTTTATTGTAAGTAAGTCACTCACAAATATTTAATTGATACATGACTGTGCATAACATAGTCTGTTTAGATGTTAATTTTCAGAGTCAGTTACAACACCAAACCCAAGTATTATTTTTTTAAATAGAAGTCCTGAACAAGCATCTTTCACCATTTGCTTATGTTGTGTTGATTAACATGTTGTTCTGGGTTTGGGTGTGATGCGAATGTGAAATAATGGATTAGTAAACCCAACCACGACATAGGAAATAATTGACATAGTGAAATTTTAAGGGTCCAAGGATATACATACCTAGTTCCCTTCCGACTACGCCATGAATACCCGAACTTGTCGTATCCTAGCGGTGCTTGCAGGTTGGCATACCGTCGTCCCCAGCCGAGCCGAGTGGCCGCGCCCTCCGGCATCTCCTCTACACACACCTCCCAGTACCAACTGCCGCGAGATACACCTGGAATGAAATTTATTTAATGTATTTACAGAACGTACAAAAATAAACGTTTTTTTAAACAGGGCGCCAATCGAGCCAACGGATCACTCGATGGTAAGTAATTGGCTGCTGGTATTTTAGAGATTAAGTATGCGGCTCTATAAATAATATTGACATCAAAATACATATTTATATCACACTCTTTAACCCGTCGAGCGTCCGCGTTTCTTATGCATTTCCTTATCCTCATACATGCAAGAAAATGCATTTATTTGGCCATTTGCACACGAAAACAAGGATCATTACAATAGAAATAAAATAAATACAGTCAAAATAAAAACAAAACATTAATAATAGATTTTATAAAAGAGAAAGCAGCGTGGAGCATTTTTTCTTATGATCCACCGGGTGTTCATAAGGACGCTCGAGGGGTTAATGAGTTTCAGGTTTCTCTTTGTGTTTGGTATATTGTAATGTGATTTAGTGCAACATGTTCCGTGCAATATCTTACCATGTGTCGCTCGCACCATGCAGTATCCTCTATCGCCAGTGACCGCGAGTCTGTCCTCGGATATCTTGAGCTGCGGCGCGCGGTCGTGCAGTGCCAGTAGTACTATACCAGGACATAGTGACCGGTACAACCAACCGGGGATCGGTTTGCCACTCCATTCGTTGCTCTCATCGAACTCCTGTAAGCAATTCATTATAGATTTTATAGTAGAAAGAAGTATGTAAGAGTCATAGTCGCTTTGAAGTTTTACATTTTTATCAATAGGAGAAAAGTGTGAATCAAGTAAGTCAGTATTCAATTTTGTACTAAGTATGATAAGTGTTCTAAAATTGGGGCATAGTTGAGACTTCCAATTAGAGAGAGACAGTGCAGTGGATACTAATTAAATGAATTATGAAAACTGCCTAAAACCAAGAACAATTATTATATAGTTGTTTGAATGTACAGAAGGCAGCTCTATACGTCGCATATGTCTAATAAAATGATGATAAACAAAACCCACACTTCAGTGTGGATTCGCTTGTGATTCATCACAAGCGAATCCATTATTTAAATTCTGTGAATTTCAAGGATGTTTTCAAACTACGTTTCGCAAACCTGAAGGTACTTTGAAAACAACATTGTTCTATTATTGACTTTATGGGAAGAAAGATATAGATTTAATGGTATTTGATGGTCTTACCTGTCTAAAAGGTGCATGTGGATCAGGTTCAGCCAGAATATAACGGTAGCCATCTTTGTTGAATGGATGTTCTGTAGGGTAGCCATGTGAAGGTAGCTTCAAAGCGCCTAAGTCAGCAGTGCGACCCTTCTTTCCGACTGGAGCGCCTGTGTCAGTAGCCCCGCCCACAGCCGGCCGGCGCTTCCCCTGTCTACCCTTCACATTACCTGCCAACGGAACTGAAAAAATAATTACAATGTTTTTTTGAATGCATGAAAATGAATATAATAATGCCTTAAATCTTAACAGCTTACAAAACAGGGGATTACTCTTGAATCCAATTCCGATTCATGGACATTGGTATTGTGAAATTTCGTACTCTTCCTTGAGTTGCAACACTACCGCCCATAGAATCCGTATTGCGTGGATATTTAATGAACTAAATTATATTGAGTTTGGCTTTATATTCCGTACTATAAATGCTATTTTAACAGCTAAGATATTGCTTGTATAGTTTTGACATTGAATAATTATTGAGATTTTATTGGATTAAAATTAAGATTGGTTTCAAGAGTAGGCACCCTGAAAGTAAAAATTTTAGGTGAAACTGACAGCCACTAACAAGTCGTCACTTAAAAAACAAACACTATAAAATAGTGGCCAACACAGCACTCACCACCAACAATAAAATAATATGTACAAAAAAAAACAAAACAACAAAATACAAATAAAAACATCTGAACACTGGCCAGACAAACTACTTATGAAATTCGTTCAATCGCAGGTAAACATATTTTATACACTTCTTAAAAAAGGAAGGTAGTTATATTAATGCTCATAATTATTGCTCAAGTCATTGTTTTGATTTGAGTGTTTAATCCTGACAATTGACAATGACCCAATTATTGATATTCCTGATAGATACCCATTGAAAGACATCCTCTACATTTGCGAAGCGTAAGGGAACTTAAATCATAAGAGGCATTTATTAAAAAAATAGAAGAAACAAACGAATTTTTGTGTAGGTAATAAAACATCTATCTAACATGAAAATACAATTAAAGGGTGGCAACAAAATCACAAAACGTGCATTCTAAAATATTTTTTTATGTTTTATCAAACCCAGTAATTAAATAAACATTTCGATACAAGAGCGCACGTGGTGAAATCATTAAATAAACAAATACATTTTCATCAGCTATGAGTTGGAAAGAAAATTAGTACCGCTCATAATGAACACCGATGCAATTAGCGGCTCGCTCCAAACTTGATTGCATTTCTATGTGACGTACGTGTTTATGTATACTGTAGCCTATTAGGTACGTTTATACAGGGAAATTTTAATACAAATTCCTCGTTTAGGGATTGAAATAATACATACCATACTATGATAAGGTATTTCATTTATCAACTTTTATATAATAAGGATGTATTAGAAATATTCCTATGGAAATCCGGAGAAGGAGAATTTCAGTCATTTTTAAAATGATAATGGCATTGACTCGTGACCAGTTGACCAGTTCAAAACAGCCGCTCCGTTCGTAGAGAACAGCCGCGGTCTTAACACGTTTTCCGAATAATTTGGAATAATAAGGAGTATTTATACTCATAATGGTATTAGATACAAGCAAGCATGTTCTGTCAAGTGTAAACTAAAAAGATAAAGCTGAAATTACTATCTAGCTACTTCGAACAAAACATGCGGTAAATGTTAACAATGTTAAAACTTTCGTGACGATACAAACTACCTGTATTAGGGGCAAAGAGATAATATAATGGAATGTTTTAATAAAGAAAACTCTCTCAGCGTTTCTGTCTATTCACGACGTAGTCCAAAACTTCTGAACGGATATTTATGCAGTTTTGTAATAGGTACTAGGTAGGGTAGGTAGGTAGCTAAATAGATAGATTTTGAAGTGTATAATTAGTGAACATTTGAAAGCTTGGGCGATATTTATCGCCCAAGCATTCAAATGTTCCTTTCCGCATATGAGGAAAAACTGCAGTATGTTTGTCCGTATCATAATGTAATGGATATATGTGTAAGTATTAACATTCACATGCGCACTCAAATACATTTTCGCACATCATTTTATAACCTCAAGTCATTCTATTTATAACACTGCAGACTAAAATAGCGTATAAGTGATCATACGCGATGATGATATTGTTTAATGAATATAGGAGTAACAATAACTTTGCGAACGTGGATTGTGAGCAAACGGTGACAGATGCTGCCTTTTAGAGCAAACATTATGCGTGACCTCATTTAACATCGAAGCAATTCATTTATTGCCTTGTTGGTCGTTGTTATAAATGATGTGCTATATTCCGATTACTTAAATATCTCTAAAATATGAAAGATTTATGAAGAATTAAGCCAACTTAATCAATTACGTTTTGTTTTTTATTTTTTCCCCTCATCCAAATGACGAAGAGAGGGTAATTTGAAGTAGGCATTATTTATGAAGGTTTTCTGTTCGCAATGGGGTGAAACAAGGACAAAGCTCGGCGTGCGTCACGGTACGACTTTCTAAGAAAAGCTCCGTGGACGAAATTATTTATAACTAACTAGTCGCATAATGGACATGATGGGACTTATTGAGCGCGTTATTTCCAATTATACTAACTAGTTGGTAGCACTGACCTGTAGTTATCCATGTCAAATCGAACCAAACCTACACGTTTTGAATAGAGCAAGTTTTAGTAAGAGAAAAATCGACATACCTACTTATTAATTATAATATTATCCGTCACTAACACCGATATTTGTACAAAATACCTACGGAAGATAACGGTCGCGACACGGCCACGCTTACAACTTCCTCATTAAACTGTGGTTTAATACAAGAAAAATATCTTTATGACGGCAATAAACACCGTAACAACATGCGATTTTACGATATTAACTCGTCGAGTACCGGTTTTATAGACACAATTAAAGAACAATAGGTCGCGGTCACCGGTGACCGCTTGGTGTTTGACAGTTTAACAGGCTAAAATAAATGCAGCTTTATTGCAAAGACGACGATCAACTCCTAATTGAATAAACGAATAATAGCGACTCGTATTGTGCACGCCAGCCATATCAATGGCATAACAGCAGGAAACAATTATTTATGCAAAAGGATGTAACACCATTCCACAGAGACCAACCATTTAAATAAACTAAAATCAATTAAAATCTTTACAACTTACTATCCATGTCGTCAACACCGATAACTTGACTAACTGACAAACTTGTCATATATTTAGTGCAAGTGATGATAAGATAAAGTCCGGGTATCGAGACGAACCAACGCGATCCTATCGGGTCTTACGTGACAAACAGCACAACAATGTGGAACACCCTACATCAACAACCCGCCTACCTCGCATAGGTATATGGAATAAAAATACTTTTAACCTTATACATAACGTTACTTTAACGAGATAAAAACACGACGCCAATACATAGACGTAGCTACCTATATGTAAACATTTGTTCAAGGCAAATTACGATTCTGATAACAGATAGCCGTGTAAACTAATTATGTATGCACATAACATTCTACGGTGCGACAGTGAATTCGAAGAGAGAAAATAAAAATAATCGGACATAACTTACCAGCCATAAAGTTCAAGGTGATTATGAAGTGAACTATTTAAATCTAAAATCAATAAAGGAGAAATCGCGCGGCTAACGCGACGGTCCTATGTGTACTTATCGGCGAATATACGGACACACTAACGTAGAATATAGTGTTTTAATGCCGCCGCTGTGTGCGTCGCGGAGTTGGTGTTTACATACACCAATGCATAAAGAACAATGTCATTATTCAATAACATGTCTTTGTGGTGGGCTCTACACTTTTCTGTGAGTATGCAACGCGCGTTACGAACGTCTGTAAGTTTTTCAGTGTTTTGGACTGTTTCCAAAGCGACATGTTAGTCGGTCAATTATGGTGTTTATACTACTCAACAATTCTAACCTGACGTTATTTTATTGAGGTCAGATTAGTAGGTCGCGCTCGTCACAATACTCTTTCCTGCGACTGTAAATGATATTCTACCGCGATTAATTTATGATTTATAACAACAATAAATATTAATTCATTTTAAGTACTTGATTGGTCTTAAGAGAATTGTCATTGAATTGTTATTGTACATTAAAATTGGAATCTTCTTGATAAATATTATGAAATTAATGTGTTCAGTTTTTCTGTTGAATATAAATAAGTGGAGTTTAACAGATGGATGCTATTCATAATCTCAAGGATATAATTTAGTTATAGATTTCCTTTAAATATTAATATTGGAAATTATGACATTTCAAGTTAGAAAATACTTTTGAATATTCGATTGATATTTATACTTTACATTGCCAATCAGTAATTAAATAAGAAAAGTTTCTACCTACCTTGTGAAAAACAAACAGAATTATAACTTTTTACAACAAAAGAGGTTTAATGAAGCATACATAAACACACTTCGCCTAAGATTGCCACACCAAATAAATAAAATAGGTCAGATTTAGTCAGATTTCATGAAGTTGGATGTTTTTATATCTACTTTAGGAGAGCCATAACTATTATATGGCAAAATGTATATCAACACTTTCTAATAAATAAACTTGAACCTTTTTGAAGTATCTCCAACCTGTCAGCCAAGTATGGAGATTATGGAAAACTTCTTTTATTCATAGTTGATGTGATGTTATAATATAACATAACATCACGCCTTTTTATCCCCGAAGGAGTAGGCAGAGGTGCACATTACGGCACTTAATGCCACTGTACAATGTAACACCCACTTTTCAATATTTATGTTGAGTCCCATGTAATAGGGGGTGAGCCTATTGCCATGTACCGGGCATATTTCCAGACCCCGTGCTACTACTGAGATTTTTAAAAACCCAGTAATGCTTTGCCCGACCCGGGAATAGAACCCGAGACTCCTTGCCGTCGCACTTGCGACCACTTGGCCAACGAGGCAGGCAATTTATGTCATCTTATAAAATAGAAAATTAACTTACTTGTAGCTATTCCCATATCAGTAACTTTTAGCTGCCCTTGTTTGATCATAGCTTCGTAATTAGGCTTGATAGCTGTTAGTTCCATATTGTACAAGCCAAACATAGGACCTTGATTAGCGTCTTCTTCATAAGTAAACAGAACTTGAATGTCTTTTATAAGAGCTCTCTGAACTGTTGCATACCAGGATTGGGTCACTCTGGAATTAAAATCTGGTTTAGAAAAGACAATTTTTATATTACAATTTTCATTATACATACTATATTATTATGTTTTTTGGCTTGATATTCAAATTCCTTGTCAAACAGTTACATGTGTAATACAAAAAACATAGCAATTAAGATTGTTTTGGTTGTAAAAATGATTGGTGTTTGTAAGCAATGTCACTAATGGGATACCTGAAGTCCCAAAGGAGTTACAAGTATGTTGCTGGTATCTGAGGGGATGTACCATCATTAACTTGTAGGTATTTGGTTTAAAATTCTAACTTTATGTTGTTATTACAGACGTGAACATCTATAAAATTAATCTTATACTATTATACATATAAACCTGTAAAGTTTGTTTCTTTGAACACGCAAATCTTAGGAAAGACATCACTATGATCAATAGGAGCCGAGCAAAGCAGGTGACCTGCACGGAAGTAGCTAGTGTTTGATAAAACTACCACTTACATTAAACAAAATTGTTTTATAGTGTTATTACAGTAAGCAATATTACAAAGTAAAAAGTAAATATTTTTAAAAAGTTACGCTTTATTTACCTGCAGTTTTCCAAAATCTTTCTTTTCTTGACAGATTAACTTTTGTTTTTTTAATAGATAATCTACATGTCACTGGCTGTTTTACTGACTAAACCAGAATAAAACCTTTTTTCTAGTCTTAAATTGAAATTGATACTAAAATCTGATAAAAAGACAAATTAAATACTACTTGTTGTGTAAATAAATTGTCTGACTACATACTTAATAGCAACTGCCAAACATGGTATTGGGTTAAATTCCCAACCCTATGCTCGGGTCACAGCTTCGAATGCCACGTGGAACAAGTCTTTGTGTAATCCATTGTTATTTCACATCTGAGAGTGATTTATATGTCAATTATTATATCTGTAATACCTCCATAATACAAAAGCAAATAAAATTTTGGGTAAGGTTTTTTCATTAAAGGAAAAACAAATTTTACCTCCTTGGCATGGTGGTCATAGCTTCCCAATACTGGTCTATGTACGGTATGATCTCCCGGTCTTTGCTGAACAGGAGTCTGTTGGTGCCTTCCTTCGCTGACTCCTGACGCAAGTTTGCAATGGCTGTCAGACACATCTGCGGGAATGCTGTAACATAATGGATGGTATTAACTGGATTATCTTAATATTAAACTCCTTATAAAACGGTATAGGTATTTCTGAACATTCAACTTTAAAAGAATATAAGTAGATTTGTATAATAAGTTTCACAGTTCTTTTTGAAAGTCAGTTATAACTTTATGAGTGACACACCATAACAAAAACTTTCTAAACTGAAAAATAATATCTTACTTTGAATAACTCTTAATACTTAGCACAACTCTAGAGAACCATTGAAGGTTGGTAATGAGATAAACAAGTGTTAAAGTGTAAACACTAACACAACTATCTCATTACACTGATTAGTGTGCCATTTACCTTGAAGGTCAATCCGCAGGTTCATTGATTGACACCTAAGTATATTAGCATTGCAAAAAGCAAAGATAAAATACTTCTTGTTTGATAAGTCTTATTATTTATTTACTTACGAGCTTGATTCTTTTTAAATGTTTCTAGTCCAGTCGGAGAGCAGTTCTTGCAAATAAACAAATAGTTTGTCATGAATGGTACCAACTTGCCAAGCTGGTAACCAATGCAAGATTCATGAAACCATCGATTACAAGAAGCACACAGCAACTCTGCAATATTTAGATTTCGATCTTTCCCGCTAAAATCAGATAAAGGTTATTGATGAAACTGCATTCCATTTTTAAATGAAAATGAATACAGAGTTTTACCGACCAGTAACAGTTCCCTTGAGATTCATTAGAGGTTTTATTCGACTTGTTTCTGTCTGCATTTTCTCCCGGCTTTTGAGATTCACTTTGATGTTGAGCATTGTTGGATCCACTTTCCGACTCCGTCGACTTCTTGAATGAATCCGTACTATTTGACGACATTTTTCAATAATAAACAAATCTAGCAATTGAAAATGTGACACTTACTCACATTTTACGATTAAAACTACCTAAACTTTCTAAAATAAATAAATTTGGACTGCAAGATGCATGCAAGAACAACAACGATCAAGCATCAAGGTAGGTATGGTTTATATCTTGCAAAATTAAATACGAATAGATGAACTAATAATTAGTAGGTAGGAGCGCTAGTGTTGCGCGCGTTTACATATGATAGAAAGAGATGAAATATGTTGACATATGGTTGACAGGAAAACAAAACTATGTCATATTTGGCTGGATAACATCAGTTCAGAAACGAAACTACGAACAAAAGTAAAGAACGCTACCTCTTTGCAGTTCAAAACGTAACAAAACATTTTACGACTATCGTAATTTTACTAGAATAATTTAAATATAAATATGATTTTTTTAGAACCACACTTTAAACGAAAATAAATCCAAAATAACATTACATAGTTTATTTCTATTAACGTACACGAAATGCAATGCGTTCATCAATCAATCATTGATCATCGCAACGTTCAAAACTTCAAAATCAAATCACAAACGGTTGTCGTGGAAACAGATTTGTTTACGATTAAAATATTACAAAGCTCCGTGTTTTATTTATCTTACAAAAAGTACACAAGTAATTATCGTTAGTTTTCTGCAATGGATTCTGTAACGAGCACAGAGAATGTTTGCATGGACATTAAAATGACCCAAGAAAATATTCTGCTTGAGATTATCAGGGAAGTTTGTAGTGAAAATAATAAATTGCCAGACAAACTGAAAGGCAAAGTGAACCGGATCATTGCGGACTGTGATCTGTCGTATTACTCGAGCCTGCACAAGCTCAGCACTGGAGATGAAAGCACTGCTACTGTTCTGGGTAAAAATTTATTTATTTTATAGACTAGATAGTTGCTATAAGTTGTTACTAAAATTTACTCAGCCCAAGAAAAGTCACAGAACAATAATATTCAATACACTGGTCTTCTTTATCCTCATTGTAGCACAAAATAACTACACTGTGTTCCTATAATCACTATTTTAATACTTTAAGCTCACTCATTCAAAGCAAGCACTGAATCAAGTCAAATACAACACCAACAATCAAAGATTGCACTATCAACTACAGAACACACTAGCTATTCCTTGCCAAATTTTAAATAGAACCTATTTCGTTCCAGGGTTCATGCACCAGTCCGCAGCGGAGCTAACATTTGATGAACAGTCTGAATTTAACCAGGCAGTTCTTCAAAAGATACAAACAAAGTTGCCAGCCTTTACTGCAGAGCTCGAACATCTTAAACAGTCAACTAGCACCACTAAGCCACTGAAGGATGAGAAGAAGGAACTTCAGAATAGTATTGATAATAAACTGAGCACTCTTGAAGAACAGGAGAGTGAGAAAGTGGAGCTGATGATGGAGTGGCTGAATCATAGGCTGCGGGATGTTACCAAGTTCAGTCATGATTCAAGTGAGCTGCTGACTCTGAAGACTAAGATCTTGGATTTGAAGTCAAAGTGAGTATATGTTTTTATTTATAGTTGTGGATGTGAGTACCAGTTATGGTAGCTGAGCATTTAGATTCTTGTTAACAAAGCCATATATTTTTTATGTTTTGAGGCTCCTAGCATAATTTTTAAAATTCATTAACAGATTTTGAAGTTTATTGCTATGAATAAAAATACATAGAACATTTCTTCATATCTCGATTATCAGCCCATCAAATATAAAGAAAAATGTACTACTGTGATACTGACATATGGCAGGGGCAGGTACTTACCTACTTACACACATTTTTGTCCAATCATATTATTTACCTACTTAAAATGCTGTGTTGTAAGTATTTTAGTTGCCAAATACTAAGAAAGAATCCCAAAAGCTTCACTGTGCTAGTTATAACAAAATTGCTTTTTAATTTCATTGCCCCATTGTTGAGTGGTCTAAGTATGATAGCAGTCCTTGAGTCCATTCCCAGAGTAGGCAATACTATGCAATTTAGTATATTTGTATAGGTTCTCGTGTTTCATAAATAGGTCTTACTCTTAGTGACACCTAACTGATCTTTACCTTCCTTAACTTGACTGATCTTATTTCTATTGGGTAGTTTCCTGGGTCAAAAATAATTTTGATTTTTCGGTCCAATGAAATATTGAAAATTAGTTAGACTTTCATTCATTGATTTGCCGATATACTTATTTTCGATTTATTCTAGTTTTTTTAGATATACGTGTGCTATTTGACGCGAATATATGATGACGTCATAACATCTTAGAAGTAGGTACCCATCGTACTTCTTACAAAATTCATAGAACAGTTATCGTTTTTGACGTTTCGATAAAAGTATTGAATTTGACTAGTCTGTGGTATTATCGAGGAGACATTATAAACGATAATTACGATATGACAACTTTACTAATGACTTCTTATTGTTTGTTCATTACAACTCAATAGACTTACCTACTCATGGATGGGTCATGGCAAAATAAGCCTAGCTAACTTTTGGTTTTAGGATTAAACTATGATCTCTAAAGTTAAAAGGTTTGTGAAAAAATCATAAGAAAATTACCATTAAACATTAAAAGTCACTGTTGTGTGACAAAAACCACTTTTTAAATTGAATGTAGCTACACATAGTTACTGCTCAGTAATTTTTGTTAGGCGCCTAAAGAAGTTCGAATGTTTATAAGCAAATAGTTATGTGGGTTATTCCTTATATAGTAATCCTTTAATAGTAGCAGATAAGTCTTTTTCCAAATACTAGACGACCTAGACATAACTCCAGTCCAGACTTTATTGACACAAATCGTTGATGAATTAAAAATCATAATCTTCACCATTTTCTTTCAACACGAACCGATATTTGTGACATTTTCCTGGCTGCTTGCACTCGCATCTTATGATCTTAGAACAATTCATCATCATATTGGGCACAGGATGTCTATTGCTGAACATAGGCCCAATGATTTCCAAATAGGCTGGTTAGAAGCGACTTTTATCCATTGTAATTAAAAAAAATAACTAAACAAGTACGTACAAGATGTAGCTACATTTTTTTATGGGATAAGCCGGTAAACGAGTAGGCGGATCGCCTGATGTAAGCAATCGGCATCGTCCATGAACACCCGAAACACCAGAGGTGTTACAAGTGAGTTACCGGCGTTTTGGGGATTAGGAATTTGAGGATTGTTGGAGATTCAGGAAATGGGGAGATTAGAGCAGGGGGGAGAGGTAATCAGGCCTCCGATAACTTCACTCACACGACGAAACACAACGCAATCATTGTTTCACGTTGCTATTCTTTGAGGCCGTGGTATCACTCCTGTTGAGCCGGCCCATTTGTGCCGAAGTATGGCTCTCCCACACTTGAATTTTTATAAGACTTCTACAAAAAATAACAGAGAATTTATGTTTGTTCCTACAGGATTCTCCACCTACAAATTCTGCAGAACATATTCACTGAAACGAATCAGTCGATCAAGGCATACAGTGAAATACACAAGGACATGAAAGATTCCATTAAGGAGACTGAGCAGAGGATCAAACACTTCAGGAGTATTATTGATAGTGATGGCAATTAACTAAGTAACATGTATTCCATATCGTGCTAAACCTAGGTAGGTGCTTAGGTCCTTCTTACTTGAACCCAGAGGCGGATTAAACCTATAGAGCGTCGTAAGCCCCTCACAGACGCATCTAATTTTTATTTGGCACCTCTCTATAGGCTGTAGGGCACATGCGTCTCGCGGAGCCCATCTGTATCCTGGTGCCTTAGACAGTAGGCACTTGCCCAGTTTGCCTTAGGGATAATGTCGCTCTGCTTGAACTTCATATCTTAAAAGCTGTGACGTAATCAAAAGATTTGTGTCTCCTAATAATAAAACTCATTTCGGAGCTGTTTACAAAAATCTAGGTATTTTAAATCAAGTACTAAGATACCTACGTTTCGATGTTAAACTTCACTGTCTTTTAAAAATCCAATTCGTATTTAAAGCCAATAAGGAAAATGCATGTCTATCCGCCTTTTCGTGTGAAATACCACTTGATCCTAATATAACTAGCCGTCTCCCCTGCGGGATATTTTTAAAATGTGTTAATTATTATTTACCTGCAAAGTGTAAACAGGAACTATTATTTTCGTTTTGTTAATTAATCTTTCTGTTATTTCGTAATAAACAATGTTTATTAATTGTTGTTTTTCTGTATTGAAATTTCTTTTAATTTTGAAAGTTAAAACTTTCTAGAAGGTACCTTTGCCCATCCTAGACGAATTGCATTATGTATCAATTAAAAAAATAATAATTAAAAACAATTTAAACCCGTTCCATTCCTAAAAATAAATGGTCAACGGCATTTTATCTGTTGGCTCTTCCTGCCAAGGTTGGAGGAAAAAAAATAACCTATTGAACAAATAATTTATGGTTGACAAATCCACTCGGTAATTAGTACTTACTTTACTTAAGAACACATCGTTTATACTAAACAGTATTTGATGGCAATAACAAAAGAAGTTGACATTGACGAACAGATTGTAATCGTCTTAATTCTATCTAACTCAGTTGTAAGTTGAACTTAGAGGCGCGCGGTCGTGTCTCATTCATGTGTTAACACAAAAAGTGATTTCGTGAAAAGTGAAATAAAAATGATGGAGAACTTATCTTCAATCGTCGAAGCGTTAAGCAAAACATTCAGGTAAGCCTTTAATGTATTCATAAATTATTTTTTTGTTCAGTTATTGTAATAGAAGGTTAAATCTATGTAGCAGTCATTGATAAGTATGTAAACATATAAAATTGGTTTGCTTCTAGATAATTATTATTGTAAATACACGAGTCATTGTGTATTTAATATATATGTTAAATTAAATCTTGATATTTGTATCAAAGTGCGATTTTATACGTGATTTTTAAACAAGATGAAAAAGAATGAATATTGTTTCAATGTAAGCAAGTATGCCTACATACCTACATACTTCAGAATATTAAAAAAATGCCATCTGCAAGCTTATCAGTTCGTAATCTTACAAAATGTGTTGGTATTTTATCATCGGCAATGTTCTACCTCTTACTAGTACCTACCTACCTACTACCTAGTACAAAAAATCCAACAACGCAAACACATGTGTTTTATTGAGGGTCGTCTATAAACTAAAAAACTAGAAGCGATCCATAGTAAGCATAGACAAAACGAAAAAAGAATCCTTAGGAATTCCATTCATGGTGTATATGACTACTAGCTACTGCTGCGTGGTTTCACCCGCTCTGCTCGGCGCCTATTGATCGTAGCGTGATGTTTTATAGCCTATAGGCTTCCTCGATAAATGGACGATCCAACACAAAAATATTTTTTCAAATCGGACCCGTAGTTCCCGAGATTAGCGCGTTTAAACGAACAAACAAATACTTCAACTTTAGGATTATTGTGTTAATCAAAGTGACTGCCCCCCTATCGACTATCTACGAGACTATTAATTAATTAAAAAGTAACAGGCTTGACGATTCGTTGCATCTTGTATTGTTCCGACTCGTATGCTTATTACGCTTCGCAACAAAACGGTGGATATTTTTAAACTGTTCTAGTTTTGAACCGTCAATTTGATGTTAGGAATAGGCACCAAAATAAAGCTTGATAATTATTGCAAAGAATGCAGAATGTTAAAAAGAATTCACGACTTTCTGGTGTTATTGACAAAAATCTAGAACAAGAGTAGACGCAACTACCTCTTTGGGCATCTATCACTATCGTTTCCTTGAATATACCTACTTTCAATTAAAATGAATTTAAATTCAAATTTGAATAATACATCACTGCACTAAAAATAACACACGGGACTGAATGAATGCAACACTTACACAAAAATTCGTCTAGAATTTAGCGCGAACTAAGTGTTACCTATTAATTTTAATCATGTTCAATTTGTCTAATTTGTGTGGTGGTCTAGTAGTGACAAAAGACTTGGTCACTCATAGAAATATGTAAAGTTATTCATACATATTTTGACCTATGGAAGTGTACAGAAACTACAAATCGTCGTCCTGTGAACCGTTCGTCCTGCAACATATTTCGCTCCCTCGTCAATCATACAGATGCACCGGTTGAGAGCTATTCGTTCTTGACCTCTTTTAAGGATCACTGCATCTGTTTACGACCTACGTATAAAATGATTAATCTATAGCTAGTACAATTTTGAAGAAATTGATAAGCTAAACTTGTCCAAATGGACTTTATCATAGATATGAAAAATACCTAGTACCTACTATAGTTCCACGTGCTCCATAAATCTATTACTTGACGTAATGGAGTTTATAATGCGTGAAGGACTTGCTGAAGTCCAAAAGTCATTAAAAGATACTTTGATCTAATGCTTATTACCTTAAACCAACCTTGGCACTCCTGACACAAAAAAATAATCAGCGAAGTGGATAACAAACGCTAGTTGGTTACAACAAAAAAACATAATTGCTTCTTAACTTAGGTACTGTTATTAATTAACTTTTAACGTCACGCTTTTTAGCAGAGAAGAAACACTCGCTTAAGTTGCTAGGAATACTTATACAAATCCATGCTCGGTGCTCCACCCATACTCGAAGTCCTCGCTATAACGGCGCCTTTTAATAGTCTAAAACAGACAGTAATAGATAGTTAGGTCTACCCAGAAATCTTACTCAAAAGTCCCTTGAATTGAACGGCTCTAGTCGCAATTGTTGATCACTCGATCATGGGAGCATTCTCATCGTCATTAACACTTGGTAGGTATCTAATGACGTACTTACACCTACCTATAATATTATAAAATTGCAAGTCATCATGTTGATGTTTATAGCCTTGTGTCTTAGATTTATAACTGGTAAGATCAATGTCCAGACCTTCTTTAGTAGGTACTTATTTTTTTTATAATAACCTTTCATTGAACTGTCTCGCGATATAAACCTAATATGGAGAAGTTATATTAAAGTAAGTAAAACCTAGACAATAATAAAGCTTTGCGTTGTATCGTTGGTCGAGTGACGTCTAGTGCGCCTACTGAGCAATCGGTCCAAATTAAATTCTAATTTATTTCAATTATGACAATTTAAAGTTAAAACTTGCGTAATACAAATATCAGAACTATGTCAATACTTCGTTATCCTACATTAAAGTAACCTAACATTATGTTGATCACTGTTCCACATTTAAACTGAAAGGAGGAAACATTCTTCATAGATTACAGGCAATAGTTTACCTACATTTCGTAATATCGCCTCGATACACCTGATAAAGCGTTATCGGCCTTACGATTACGATGAATATGGAATACCTGCACTTTGTAGGTAGGCACTTTCTTACCTCTTCTTACACGTGAACGTTGCAAGGTAATGACTGATAAGAACAGTTATTGGGTCGTTGAGGACCCAATAATCTAATCGTACTTAGTTTTCGTTTCTGTGAAGACAAATTTTCTATAGTATTTTTTCACAAAATGAAAACCTAATATGAAAGTATCCGAGTGAAGGTTGCTTATGATCGACGTGCTCCTTCGTAGACCGCATCATCGCTTACTACCAGGCGAGATAGTGGTCAAACGTCAGCCCATCAAATGTAGAAAAAAAAACTTAGTAAATTAAATTACTCTATAGCACGCGTAAGGGTTGCCAACAATAATTCGTAATAACATACATATCCTACTTTATTTTTGGTAATTATACTTTTGCATACAAATAAAGTATGTGAAAATACTTTATTTCGAAACTTTAATGCAATTCATGGAATAAAACACTCATTGTGGAATTTATGAGTGCCTAAGTCGGTGCCTAAGTACTTGATTTATACCTATTTAAAAGATTATGGTAAACGATTTACAATTACTGAACAAAATGATAGTGACCAGTCAGATTATCTCAGATCTCACTATAGACGAAATTGTATAAAAATAGTCCATCGTTTTTAACCGACTTCAAAAAAGGAGGAGGTTATTGTATAGGTAATTAAAGTAACTAAGTGAAAATTAATGCTTAATAATGCCGGGGAATTCCGAATTTGAAAAAAATGTAACCCTTTTTTTCTTATAAGTATTTTTTTCCTAATTCAAATACTCTTTTTCTGTCAAAAAAAATTGGCAAACCTAGGCATAGTTGAGCCGTAGCAACTGCTACGAGTGCTACCTACGCAATTTATCACCCGAAAACAGGGTTTTTTCGGAACTGCGCAAAGACTGCAGTAAAAATATAAACGTGCCTATCTATGACACAGAAGGAAGTCTTACTCATGTGATCATGTCAAATCTTTATGTTCAAGGGTCATCAACTGCAACTCTTTGTTTTACTTCCGCGGTTTCTGTTAACTAATACAAAGGGCAAACAGAACGGAAGGAACAAAGGTTTAAGGTACATAGATGAGTAAAACATGACTAATGACCCTATTTTGTTTACGTCTTATTATTAAACTATGTACTCGAAGAAATAAATACATCCAGAGTACATAAGTGCGTATTTACCTACTTATTGTAAGGCAGTTCAAGTTTGTACTGTGATAGAAACAAGTTCAAATATGTACGTAGGTACTATTTATAAGCGCCAGTCTTTATTCTATATGGCTATTTATTAATAGGAATTCTTGTTAAAAACAATACTGATAACGTATAAATTGCAGCAGATTGTAATTTTGACCTAGAGTCGAGAAACATAATCTATAATCTACACAATGTTATCGTGTTTTGTACACATATGGCTCACTCAATACAAAACTATACATAACTTATACGGGACTGCGCATACGCGGGAGTTTAGTTAGTTCAGTTCGACTGACCGCTATCTCCTCCTATTACTTTTTTTCCTGGGGAATTACTTATTATATGATATGGCAATAAATAATATACAATCATAGGTACAATAATCAGGTAAATTATTATACCTAAGCGGTTGAAAAATCTAAAAGTTATCAGAAAGAAAGTCGTAATCATTTTACACATAACTTTAATGCTTAAAACCGAGTTACCTATGTAGTAAAAATATTAAAAAATGTAATGACATCCTATATTAAAACCTTTATCACTCACATTAATAATAGGTGAAATAAGCACATTATTAATTTTACTACCTATGGACATAAACCAACCAGATTAGATATGACGTGAATCATTTCATAATAATTCTACTCATAGTAACAAAATTATTTGTGTATCCGTCTTGCAGTATTGATTTTATAGACCGACATACTAATACAATACCGAAGCGATCCACCACGGATGGGGCTCAATAAGGCTGATGCCGATAAGGAGCCGCGGAGGACTTAACGGGTTGTCGGGGCTCCGGCTCGAAGGCCGTAGGAACGGGGTGGTTTTTAGTCCGTAAGAGTCTGACACTCCCTTCCGCCTCACCCAGCCCCCCCCCCCTCCTTAAAAAAAATCCAAAACGATGTCCACAGTATCTTTAAGACCCCTGAGTCTATGCTAATGGCAATTAATGTTAGGTACACTATGTACAGCTAATGTGCTGCATGTATCTTCTCTGAGATCGACAATCCACGTTTTCCTATAGGTTACGGAACAGAAACTTGCAAATAAAAAAAAAACAACTTTTGTGATATTCGTAAGCAAATCATATTTTATATTGATTGCTATATTAATATCATCTATAGACCATCAATCAAGGGTATATATTACAATAGGTGTATATTGTACACCTTACCCTAATTAACTTTTAACGAATTTTTTGTCTCAATTTCAGCCAAGTATCGACGCTGCTCGGCATACAATGGGCTCCCATGGACATCCCTATGTCCCGTCGCCTTCAGACCTTTGCAGCTTTCCTCTGGATCTACCTCATACTCTTCGGAGAAGCCTTTGCAGTATATCTCTTCATTCGACTGGTATACTCAAAGTATTGGTGGGCGGCCATACTTTATGGAGTATGGATGTTGAATGATGTTGAAATTTGCAACCGTGGTGGACGATCGTAAGTTTTTTTTCAGCTTTATTTACTCTTTGCTAGTGCCTAATACCTACCTGCATAACGACTTATCATTTATTTATTTATACTGGACTTTGGACTCCCTATAATAGATACACTTACATGCTAAAATATAATCCACCAGACGTTACAATAACTTTGTGATTCTTCAATTAAAAGCAAACACATGTTTGGAATACAAACATAGAGCAATTAAAAAGAATAATGTCAAGCATCTGAAAAGTTGTCGCTTCTGTTCGTTCAATTTATGTCTCTTCCCTACTAAAGAAAACAGTCGAAATACCTATAAAACGCGCTTAATCACCATCACCAACTAATAGTTAATGGGCCCACGTTCATGAAATCGTTCTACTGACTTTCCTCTTTAAATGGCTTCATACTAATGTCCTGAATTTTGTAATTCCAGGTCAGAATGGGTGAGAAATTGGATATGGTGGCGGTACCTTGCCGACTACTTTCCAATCAAGCTAGTAAAGACTGTCGACTTGGATCCTTCTAAGAACTACATGTTCGCATGTTTCCCCCACGGTGTTATATCCCTTGGAGCCTTTGGCAGTTTCTGCACAAACGCCTTAGACTTCAAAAAACTGTTCCCTGGCATGACTTGCCATCTCATCACTTTAGGAGGACATTTCCTAGTTCCTTTCTTCAGAGAATTGGCTTTGGCACTTGGAATATGCTCATCTTCGGAACAAAGTCTTCTGTATCTATTAGACAAGAAGAAGTATGAAGGGAACTGCGCTTGTATGATTATCGGAGGTGCTGCCGAAGCTTTGGATGCTCATCCTAAAGAGTATAAAGTGATTCTCAGTAGAAGGAAGGGATTCATTCGTGTTGCGATGAAGTCTGGGTAAGTCAAATATTTTTGTTCGTGCCACACATATCTAACTCCCCTAACTTTCTCCTTGTATTTCAATATTACTTATGTTATCTTACTACGTTACTTTCAGGGCTGCTCTAGTTCCAGTGTTTTCTTTCGGCGAGACGGATCTGTTCCGTCCCCCGAACAACCCTGAGAACAGCCTGCTTCGTAGATTCCAGGAAAAAGTGCGTCAGATCACTGGTATCTCCCCGATGTTTCCCATGGGGCGTGGATTGTTCCAGTATTCTTATGGCGTACTGCCGATCAGGGCGCCTGTCACTACTGTTGGTAAGTTGCTTGCTTATAATTAAGAAATGCTTATGTAGTAAGCCCAGTTTTATTTCAAGTACCTTACAGTTCCGATGGTAAATAACTTTAAATAAATCTCAATCCCAACCTATTATACCAAACCCGAGAATTAGAGATTTTAGGTGGAAACTACGTTAGGCTCAATTGACTAAAAATCGCGAGTTACCCACGTGAAAGTACTGAGAAAGGCATCAATGCAGTAAAGTTAATGTAGTATGTCTCCCGATAGTTATTATAAAAACATAGGCTCAATTATTCTAAATACTCAATCCTCAAATCTCTAAAAGGTTGGCAACGCATTTATAACAGGTGCTGCTTGCTTATCATCAGATAATCCGTCTGCTAATTTGCCGATGTATCAGAGGGAGGCAGGTCTTATGCTGTTTGATCTCCAGTGTCTATACCCATTCTAATTGTCTTCGTGTTTTCCAGTTGGTGCTCCAATGGAAGTGAAAAGGAACTTGGAGCCGACAAACGAAGAGATAGACGCCGTGCATGCAGAGTTCACACAGCGACTCCAGACTCTCTTTGAAACGGAGAAGGTGAAATACCTGAAGTACCACGAGGAAGCGAGGCTAGTCATCACATAGGCAATCTGTTTTATTTTTATTTTATTCCAACATGTACAATTTCGCATTTTTAGAGGTAGGTACAAGAGACAGAAAAAATAACCTAATTATTTTCACAAATGTGATTGGTTGAATAAATTACGCCAGTGACGGTCATTGGTCCGCCATGTTAGACTTACTTATTATTATTTGAAAATTTGGGGTGGTAACTAAAGATAACTCGATACTATACTGTTGAGTACTTTTTCTATTTGTTCAAAACTCATATTTCCATGTTTAAATGTGTTGAGTAAAAAGCAGAGTAAAAAATAATTATTCTATGAGTTTAATGGTTACTTCAGTAACCTCTTGCTTTAAATCAACTTCAGAGGGTAGCCAGTAGGTGCCTACTTCTGTCATATCTTCTATTATATCATAAGCTTCATCATTGAATTTATTATGTTAATTAATTTTATTTAATGTCTTGCAATTTTTACCTACATCAAATCAGTAACCTATATACTTTAGTAAATTTACTAATGCCTTTGAATCATAGACTGATTGATATTATAATAATTATTATTAATTAGTTGTAAGTTTGTTACAAAAAGGGTAAAGATAAATAAAATATTTTTGAGCGTTCAATATTTTTATTTTACTCACGTCCAGGAAAAAGTTTGGGATAAAAAGAAAACGATGTAATTTTACTATTTTTATTTTATTTTATATTTTATTTACATTTTATATACAGCGTTAACATTAACGAATGCGCATGTCTTAGCGCACGACTCATTTGAGCATATTTTGTTTACTCGGCTATTTACGCACAAACGTGGTACGAATCGCAGATAACGTGTGATATTGTAGAATACCTACTCAAGGTCATGAGGATCCCATCTCCTTATATTTCAGATAAGTCATATACTTACTCGGGTATCAACCTTCTCTTTCTCTCATACACCTCCAGCTATATCTGTCCTTGTTCAATCTTCTCTATTGAAGTACGATCTTCATGATTTTTCCTTCGCTATACCTCCTTCGTCCGTCCTCACATTTGTGCGTTTATAGCCAACATGCCTCCCTTACGTTTCATGGTTGAAGGTATCATTATAATTATACACAATAATATACAATACGAGCGGGAATGATACAGTTTATCGGGCATGTTACTACGTTACTTGTAACATTGATGACGATGCAGTTGTCGATAAATTAAATAATAGAGACGTAAATGTTTATTTGGAAGGTAATTCATAGATGGAAGAAGTAAAGCAAGAAGTGTCTTTAATTACTTATGAAATAAGAGAGGAAATAGAAAGATCTGATAATGATTCGCTAGAAGAATTAACTCTCATAGGGTTTGGAGGTAAACTACACAATCATCAACGTTTTCATAACAATAATACGAGAATCTAACATCGAAGAAACTAGTTTGGCACAAGAATATAATGTAATTAACAAAGAACTAGACCATAAAGAAGTATCGTAGTACCATGCGGGCGTCAGTCCAGCTCCCGCCCATTGGACAGTCACTCGAAAAAAATGAGCTCTAAAACAAAATCACTGACAAAACAAAAAGCTACAAAAACTTAACTCAAGAGACGTCACGAAACACACGACAAGAAACTATCGGAATATTTCCAAATAATAAGCATATTGGACATAATGATTACGTCTTATACATCTTATGTTCCAATTAAAGTACCTACAATTGATTTCTATTGATAAGTAACATTGTTCGAGAGCTCAAAAAACTCAAACACAAACTTAACAAAGGCTCAACGAAACCTATAAGGCTATAGACATTAAGTAACAAGAAGACATAATCGGTGAAAAAATCACTGTATCATAAACACGGATTGGATTATGGAAAACGGTACATGTCGCACTATATTTCCATCAGATTTCTACCGAGAAAACAGTCTTAACGAAACGATCGTACTTCAAAATGCCATTGAACAAGAAATGAAGGTCACCATCAAACCGATCCTAGATCAGAGTTATAAAAACTTGTTTATTTCAATCCAGTGTTTTCGTCGTTCACTAAAAATCTCTATAAAAGTTTGATCCCAAGAACGTAAACGTATAAGTTGATCCTTAGTCCATGTCTGAAGAAAGTTTGCATCGGTGGATCGTCAAGGACTAACTGATCATGTGTCGAAGTCGGTATAGTCTAAGCCGTGAGGCCGATAAGTCACAATCTATGAAGAAGACTAAAAGTCTGTGGGCTCACGCCTGCTTCGGATGCGGCGCGGGCGCGGGCGGGGCAGGCTTGAAGCACTGCAGTAGGAAGGCCGTGTACATCACAAACGCTATTGACAGCGCTATCAGAGCGTACATGAAGATATTTAGTTCAGGCTGCCGGAACCTGTTCTTTCGGAGCCACTCCAGTACTTCGTCTTCAGACATGAGGTCTCCTGAAATATAAAAAAAAAAACATTAAGATTCTACATTAACAAAATAAAGACGTTTAAACGGAGGTTTTCTTACCTCTGTATATACTAGGGAATCTCTTCCTGAAGTACACAATAGCCGGCAACTTGGTAACTCCCCACTTGCGAGCGTATCGTGGATCTTGCATCTTCACGAAAGTAATGTCCAAGTTATCAGTTTCACTGTCAATATTTTCCAATTTGTCCAAAACAGCACGACTTTCAGCAGATTTTTCGTCTAAAACAAGCAAGTAGTTAATTCCATTTGTTTTTATAAACGATATGATTTTGTTAATGCCTATACTACTTACAGAAGTATACAGCCAAGAATTCGTTCTCCTCTAACAATTTGTCCAACATCTTACGATTTACTTCCTCAATTTCGTTTTTGATTTCAAAGACGTCCTGAGATGTCAACCATTGTAAGATCCTGTCCACTTGATGGAGGTCTCCATCATACAACATCGGTATTTGCTTACGGAAGTATACTAGAGAAGGTATGTTAACAATGTTGTATGTTGCAGCCGCTTCTTGGCTGGCGATTTTGACGAAATCAATACCAAATTGGTCAACCTCTCCATCAATTTGTTCTAAAGATTCGAGAATTTCTTCACACTCTGCACAGTCTTCGTCGTCATCTGAAAGACAAATTATTATAAGATCAGTATTCTATAGTACAGTATAAAGTACCATACTCTACAGTTTTTATTGTTTCTTATACTTACAGAAGAAGACGACCAAAAGATGTGACTCATAAAGTAATCTCTCTAACATTCTTTCATTGACAGACTCAATTTCATCAGCTAACTCTCTGTTGTCATCGTCAATAAGCCATTCTAAAATGGACTCTTCATTTTGCAAATCACCTTCGAATAGAAGAGGGTTGCCGTTCCTGGAAGAAATGTATTTTTTTCAGCCTTTAAGTTTCATTCATTTCATTCTTCATTTCAACAAGTATAAGATTGTCTTAACAAGCAATATTACCTGAAGTAAACCATTGCTGGGAAAGTTTTGATTGAATATCTCTTTGCCAGTTGCGGATCTTGAATCTTTACCATATGTATACCGTAGACATCACACTCATCGTCTATACTCTCAAGTCCTTCAAGAATATGGTCGCAGATATGGCAGTTCAATTTGTCTTAAATAAGAAAAAATATTTTATAGCGGTTGTAACAAATTTCCATCCTAAAACCTATCCTATATCTATTGTACTTACAGAAATATACAGCTAAATACTGCGTTTCTTCAACCATGTTTTCTAACATAACTCGAGTAATAAGTTCGATACGATCTTCTGTTTTCTGCGTAATCAACCACTGAAGCACTTCCTCTTCTTCAGCCAGAGATCCCTCATACACATTCGGTACATTATTTTCAAAGTATACCAGAACTGGGAAATCTGTTACTCCATAAGATTCTGCTATAGAATAGTCTTGTGTCTTAACGAATTTGATTTCATGTCTATCGCAATCATCATCGATGTTCTCTAACTCTTCCAATATTCCAGCGCATTGTTCGCAGTCCATGCTATCTGTAAAATCGCGATCTATTGCCAATTAAAGTGTTATACTATTTTGTGAGCAAATCCCATTGGATGGACAAACTGTTTCAGTACTATTGTGACTACCATGGATATTTTAATTTGTGCTGCTACAAAAACCAAAACAAAAATATCATTCGTTATGCATTTCGTGGATAACAATTTAGTTGCGAACGTGGACGGACACTTTGCAGACCAGACTCGACACAAGTGGGTGTGGAAACAGGGACTAATCTAAAGATTCATAACAAAGACCTTAAGTACCTATACTAAGAGTGCTTTCATGCCACATGCAACAAAAGTAATGGCTACATAGAAATGGATCATTAAACAAATTGCGATTGCAAGGGATCATGTCGCCGGTACTCGAGGCACGGCAGTAAAGGGATAGAAGTACCCTCTGAATCCAGTCCCTCATCCTCCTCGTGTTCTACAACTTTCTTTTTCGATGACCTTTTCATCAATTTCGAAGAGCACATTTCACACAACGTTTTGTTCCCTAATAAAAAGCAAGAGAAATTAATAACAGATACACGTATATTTTTATGGTTAATGCAAAAAAGACCTTCTTGTCATCAATTCTGTACATTTTCATACATTTTCTTGTTTAAATAAATATATTAGAGTGTAAATATCAGCATATAAAATTAGCTGTGTGAGTGTAATGTTTGTGCAGTATAGAATTGTGTAATTCCCTTACAAGCATGCAACTTACAAAAGTAAACTGCTAATGATCCGGACTCTTCGATTAAGTCTAGAAGGTCTTGTCCTTCGAGGGCTTCTATAACGTCACCTGCTGGATTCTTCTGAGTTAACAACCAACTTAATAATTGTTGTTCATCATATAAATCTCCTACAAGAAAATGATCATCAAATAAACACTTCGCAGTAAAATGATTATTCAAAGCATCAACAAGTTTATAACAAAAAGTCTACCAGCATAAATAACAGGATCTTTTGAACCCATCTTGAAGAACAAGACAGCAGGCAAAGCGAATACTCCAAATTCCTTGGCCATCTGTCTATCATCAATCTTCACGAAGTTGATACCAGAATCATCAGCATCGTCATCAATGTGCTCAATTTCTGCTAGCACTTTAGGACACTGTTTGCAGTCATTACTGTCTAAAACATGTGTTATGTGCAATACAATTGGATTTGTAAGTATCAGTTTTGAAAGGATATTATCAGAAATTCTTATCATAACATAAATAACTCAACAAATAGCAAATTAAAAGAAAACTCACAAAAGAATACCGCTACGTAATCCGAAGTCTGTCTGATCTTCTGGAACATTTTCCTGTTGACTTTTTCGATATGGTCAGTCAGTTCCATGTTCTCAGGATTCGTCAACCAGTCAAGTATTTCTTCTTCGTCGTCAATGTCGCCGTCGTAGTTGATCGCCTTTGTTTTCCTGAAGTAAGTTATACCTGGCGGATTACGGAACCCATATTTCTTCGCCATCAACCGATCGCTACATTTTACTATTTTGATTCCGTATTCAGCTGCTTCATCGTCTATTAGCTCCACGTGTCTCAGTACTTTTGGACTATCTGGATCTTCTTCTTTATCTGTAAACATTTCTCTGTCACAATTGTTCATACTGAATGGATGAAGTGATCGATTTTAGATTTGCTAGTAATATACTTACAGAATACGACAGCCAGGAATTCTTTAGTTTCGATATATTTGAATAGTTGGTCTCTGTCAATTTCCTCTATACTTTCATCTTCCTTTTGTTTAACCATCCAATCCAACACCTCAGATTCGTCCAATAGGTCCCCTAAAATAGTTTTACATTTTACTTCACGCTGAAAACCCTATGAACTAATAAAATACTATAAAGAAACCACATCCATTTCATAGTTTGGGAAACTCACCAGTAAAATCCAATAATTGGCATGCGCGGATACAACTACGGCAATACCATGCTGACATCATTCGTGTGTGAAATGAGTAATGACGGTTTTGATTTATTAGAAAAATGTATTTATTTAACAAAAAAAGTTGTTTCAGCGCCGACTCAACAATTCAACGTAACAAATAAATAAATTAACATTCATGCGAATTTTCGGCCAAACAATACAACTTACATATCGACTTAATAGTCACACAACGCCAGCACTGTTCGACCGGAAAGCTTTAGACGACTCTAACCGCAACATTAGTCTTCAATGGAAACTAAGTTTACAAATATATAGTCGTTGCCTAACGGCTGGCTGGTCATAGACATCGTCCAACGCAGTCCGATACCTATTGCTTACTGAACAATGATATAATGAATTGATTTATTGCACTGATATCCGGCACTGCGCTTATGAAAATTATTAATCAAATAATTCATTAGTTTAATGTTGGTACAAAATATTAAGAACTATAAGTTTTTATGTCTATAAATTATAAAAGTAATATTTTATCAAATGTAGTATTACAAAATAATGAGATTCCATGAAGACTAGAAAACTATATGAACATGAAATCCTTACAACTTATTATAAGTCTTTCAAGATGTCACGGCAAAATACAATGAGAAATGCCTTGCGTTGTTATTGTTACGTCTCGATTTACATTTTAATTTCTAAATATTGGAATCAATTTACAATGAAAATAACGATTTGTACACCTGCTTACAATATCTCTAGACATCCCAATATTTAGTGGGCACATGATCTTGAATTTACAGTAAAGCACATTTTGTAGGATGTATCAGTGTGGGCTGTATTCGCACCGACGCCGCGACGGCTCAGCGGCAGGTATACGAGTCATAGTACTAGTACAGTATCACGAGAGACACGACAGACGTGCGAGTACAGTCCTTGTGCAACGGTTACAACAATCAACCCTGTTACGTGCTTGCAGGGATCAAGGGACACGAGGTTATGCAAAGCTAGCAATGTTAATAGCCGGTACAGACAGATGCAACGTTAGCCATGGAGGTCTAGTGAGCTGGGTGGAGGCTAGGGCCAGCGACGATAACATTGTGTCCACTTGATGCCTGCCTTGCCCCCATATCCGAGGATATCAGAGCAAGAACTAACATTAATTTAAATTTACCACCACCAAATATTATTATCAGACTCGATTAAACCTTTTTTCCCCTTGGACGGTTTGTCTGGTTTAGCAAGGGCCTTGTTTTTGCCCTTGACCTCCTTTTCGGGTTTCTGTGGCTGCTTCTCGATTTTCTTCGGCACCTTGGTCGGCGTGGCCTTCGCTACTTTGGTTGGACTCTGAACTTTAGTGGGACAGCACTGGTAGGGTTCGTAAGTCATTTTTGGGACGGCCGGTTTCGCCCCCAATCCAATGTAGAAACAGCGATCGCCTGCAGTCAGTAAAAATCTCGTTTACAACCCGTATATACGGTAATTACAATAAACGGTTAACTGCGTTAATACTGTGCATGTTTGTAAACTTTGCGCCAACAGTTAAGCGCTATTTCTAATGATAATGTTAGTAAGTATAAGATTTGAAAACATTTATTGGTCATTAAGCGGTCGCGAATGACTGCAGGCGATAGCTAGAGAGAGGGTCCCATGCGGGCCGTCGACCATGCAGATGTGATGCGGGGGTCCCGGGGCCAACGCTACTCAATTACCTGTAAACATTCGTCTTATTCTACCGAATATACTATCTTCATCGCTATCATCATCCTCATCATCATCGTCGTCGTCGTCATCATCATCATCATCATCATCATCATCGTCGTCAACTTGCTTGTGACGACTGAATTTACCTATTTTAGAATGATGCCTAGAAAGTTTTTTATCTTCCTTTTCTTCTTCATCGTCATCATCATCGTCGTCGTCATCATCATCGTCATCATCGTCATCATCGTCGTCATCATCTTCATCGTCATCATCCTCATCGTCATCATCCTCGTCATCATCATCGTCATCATCATCATCATTATCCTCATCATCGTCATCGTCGTCGTCGTCATCATCATCGTCGTCGTCGTCGTCGTCATCATTGTCATTGTCATCATCGTCGTCAATGTCATCGTCGTCGTCATTTTTAGTCTTCACCGATTTTTTGCCAGGATTGTTGCCAGGATAACGAATATTGAGTTTACCGACTTTCTTCCAAGTGGCGTCCTCATTTGGATTTTTAAATTTTAGAATGTTTTTGATAGCCGCTAATTTCGCATTGTCTTTTTCATCGTCATCATCATCATCATCATCGTCGTCATCATCGTCGTCATCGGGATCGTCATCATCATTCTCGTCATCGTCGTCTTCATCATCATCATCGTCATCATCATCATCGTCATCATCATCATCGTCAACGTCACCATCTTCGTAATCTTCTTCATCCTCCTTGGAACTCACTTTGCTTTTCTGCCGACCTTTCTTATCGACAATTCCTGGAATTATTTTCAGCGAACCCATAGGTTTCCATTCAGCAGATTTCACATTTTTCGGGGTGTTCCTCTTTAATGCATCTACATTATCACCTTTTCTGAACCCCGATGATTTTTTATCACCATCTGCATTGGCCTTCGATTTAATATTAGCTTTATTATGTCGGTGGCTATCTTCACCTGCAGGCATTAGTAACTGTCATGCAAAATGACATAGCTCAAACATCCAGCATTTTAGGCGTAAAGTAACACTTGTTTCATAGAGATATATCAAGAATGATGTCATGCACGTAATATTTATTGAATTCATAATAATTTAACATTAAACAAAATCCCTCGACCTTAAACAGATATAACATTAGAAACGTTTATTATATGGATGTGGATTCTTACTTTTTTGATCTACAAGCCACTGCAGAACCTTATTTTCGTTCTTTAAATCACCTATAAACAGGAAAAATTGTTAGATTTTATACATTAAACCTTTTGTATTTACATACACAGATTCATTATCATTATCAGCACTAGAATAGTCGTCAGAGCTGATAGAAATAATATCAAGGAGATATTTACATAGATTATTAGGTTCATTAACATACAGGAGAGGTCACTTACCGTCGTACATGATAGGAACACCTGTTTCGTAGTAGACGAGTGCTGGGAAGCTGAATATACCAATATCTGACGCGAGCTTCGAATCCTTGGACTTAACGAACTGAATGCCGTGCTTGTCTGTGTCGTCGTCTATTGTCTCCAACTCCTCAAGAATATCGTCACATGTGTCACAGTCTTCGCTGTCTGTAAGCCAAAGAAGTAAATCAAAAATTATTCCAAGAGTCTTAGAGGAAACAAAATTATAAGGTTGTCTGTAGTCTACACTAATATAAGACAAAATTCTTAAATTGGACAACAGCCAAACCAGAAAATAAATTGAAATGATTTACTGAATTTAAAAATATTTTAAATTTTAATTTTAATAACTATATGAAAACTTTAGCATTTTTTCTACCAAAGAAATCTATTTTCAAAATATACTTACAGAAAAACACGGCTAGATGTTCGACGTCGTTGATGAGGTCTTTCAAGGTTTTCCTGTCTACGTTCTCGATGACGTCAGGTTGGGAATCGTGGAGTTCCAGCACCCATTTGAGGATAGCTTCTTCATGCATCAGGTCACCCTCGTAAATAGTTCTGAACTTGTGTCTGTAGAAAGCAAGAGCTGGTAATTCGGAAAGATCGTACTCCTTGTCAATGCCGTCGTCGGAAGTCTTGACGAAATCGATGTCTTTTTCTTCACATTCATCATCAATGTTTTCAAGCTCGCTCAGGATCTTTTGAGACTTCTTATCGCCTTCTTTGTCTGAGAAAATATCATGTTTTATCAGTTAATCACTATTGAAAACCGGGAGTTAATCCACTTCAGTGGAAATCTTATTATTTAGTTTTGAAATACGCTGCTTGGAATGCTTTAGCGTTGATCATAGTTTAACCAAATCTATAAAAAATTTGTCTAAAGACTTTAAGGAAGATAATTTGCTTTCACAATATTCAATGTTAAAGTTATACTTACAGAAGAACACAACAACGTGGTCGTTCTCCTCTAAGATCTTCTCCAGCATCCTAGAGTTAACCTCTTCGATCTTGCCAGGAATCTCCAGCGTGTCTTCATCGGTCAACCAGGCCAGTACCTCATCTTCATCCTCGATGTCACCTATAATTAGCAAAATATAAGGTTTCATATTTACATTTGGCAAGAAAGTTTAAATCTAGATATTATATTTTTCTAACTATTTTTCTATAGGAATCAAGTTACATAAACATCAACCTCAAAGTCTTGCTTTTCAAACAAGATGCCCTGACAGATCTCCAGCAATTCTACGACGCAAAAGACAGATACTAATGGAGGAGTATCGGAACAGGGAGGAGTTAGGTTGTGGTGCTCATTGTGTGAAGACCCGAAAAGCCCTTTAACGAATTATGTGAACCAAAATATTCAGAAAATCAACAAAATTATAAAATTATACTGACCCTTGTAAACAAGAGGATCCTTGTTCCTGAAGAACACAAGCGTAGGGAAAGTCTTGATGCCGTATTTCTTGGCGAGGCTGATGTCTTCAGTGGTGACGAAGATGATACCTGTCTCGTCCAACTCGTCATCAATGTTCTCCAACTCATCAAGAATGTTGTCACATTCTTCGCCCTCCTCGCAGTTACCACCTGGAAGATGAGGATTTTGTATTTAGTTTTTTTAGTGTCAGTGTTAATATTGGCTCAGAACTCGATAAAATTAGGTCTTCGTTTTTACAATACACAAAGATATTATAACGACAACTTTTCTTTTTCTTCAACTATACTTTTGTTGTAGCAAAAGTTTCCAAGCAACGGATCCATTTTGAAATCAAAAATATGTTATTAAACAAAATACTTACTGAAGTACACCACCACGTATTCGTGCTCCTCAATAAGATCAGTTAAGATCTCATCGGTGACTTCTTCGATGGTAGCACTGTTCTTCTGCTCGATCAGCCACTCGAGTACTTCATCTTCATTCATTAGATCTCCTTCGTATATTGCTGGGATGTTCTCTTCAAAGTACACAAGTGTTGGTAGATGGTCAATACCGTACTGTTTGGCCTCATTTTCATTGTCCATTCTTACAATGACTATGCCTTCCTTTTCTAGTTCATCGTCAATGTTCTCAAGCTCGTTAAGAATCCTGATGTCTTGTTTGTCTTCTCTGTCATCTGAAATTTTATTTATATAAGGATTCAGTATTGGTATTTTGTCTGTTTAGTTGGTCAAGTGAGTTATCGTGGGTATATAAAGTTTTATTAGATTTTTCAAATATACCTCAATGGTAGCCCTCGTTTGTATAAGCTCACCGCCTTATTACGAAGGTACCTAAACATAACTGGTGAAAACCGGTACGGGATATATAACTGTTTTAAACGACATTATTTCAAAAGTGTTATGATCTTGAGTAACAATGTAAGTAGACTATCAAATTTTAGATTTATAAACATTGTAGAACATTATAAAGTCATCACAATGTTATTTTGTTTTTCATTGCTGGTTTTAGTCGAGCACCCACTCTTCGATGTTTTATAGATTTACGTCAGAACCATTATGTATAAGAAACAAACATTACATTCTGAAATGTATAACTGTTTTACTTTTAAATACTTTTTATGTTGTACTTACAGAAGATCACAGCCAAGTAGGGTGTACTGACAATAAGTTTGTCCATCATTTCATCGGTGACCTCAGGGATCTCGCTGTGACGTTTCTGGTGTAGCAACCATCCAAGCAGCTCCTCTTCCTTCATCAGGTCACCTTCATATACGTGAGGGATACCTCTCTCGAAGAACACCATCGTAGGAATAGTCTCAATACCATACTCTTTAGCTTCCTTATCATCATCAATCTTGACGAAGGCGATGTCATTCTGATCACACTCATCGTCGATGTTCTCAAGCTCACCCAAAATCTTTTGACTTTTCTTTTGGTCCTTGTCGTCTGTAATAAATTCGAAGGACTGTATTTCATTTATATGTCAGTTCTTGATAGTGTTCTCTACTGAATTATGAAATTCCCTATTTTTAGATGTGTGGTAATATAAAAATCTGGCATTGTTTCAAGTAACACAACCAATGTTAAGGCCGTATGAGTAGAAGTTAAAAAAGTACTTACAGAACAGGACAGCGACGTATTGCATTTTGTCGATGATCAGATCCAGCATCTCATCGGTGATGTCTTCAATCTCGTCACTCTCAGTCTGGTGTTTGAGCCAATCCAGAACCTTTTCTTCTTCTTCTAAGTTGCCTTCATAGTAAGTTGGTATTCCCTTTTCGAAGTAAAGCAGCGTAGGGACTTTTTCAATACCATATTCTTGAGCTTCTTCATCATTATCAATTTTCACAAACGCAATGCCAAGTTGGTCACATTCATCATCAATATTCTCCAGTTCGTTAAGTACTTTCTGTGATTTACGGTCGTTATTATCATCTGTAACAGAGCATTAAAACATGGCCTTCAGGGACCGAGCTCAAGGGAGTTTTATGGTTCGAGTTATTGCCAAGAAATATACTCACAAAACAACACGGCGACAGTCTTTCCATCTTTGATAAGTCGGTCCAACATTTCATCGGTAACATCTTCAATCTCGTCCTTCTCGAGCTGGTCGACGAGCCACTCCAAGATTTCTTCTTCATTCTCAAGGTCACCTGGTGTGAATAAAATAAACGTCAACTTGAGCTAAAATTATACATAAAACCTTCAAACTATAACAGTACGATAACCTTCATATATCTTACCGTCGTAAACATTGGGGATTTGCTTCTCGAAGTAGACGATAGATGGTAGGTCATCGATACCAAAATCTTTAGCTGCTTTAATATCATCAATCTTGACGAATTGAATACCGTGGCGGTCACAGTCATCGTCAATCTTCTCAAGCTCTCCCAGAACTGTCATCGACTCTTCGTCGCCGTGGTCGTCTGGAAGTAAGGGAAACGAAATATTATAGAAAATGTTAATAACTTTCCCTTAAACCGTTTGACATCCTATTCAGAGTATCTAACACGATAGCGTTAGTTAGACTACTTACAGAACAGTACGACAAGGTTGTCAACATTCCCGATTAAGGTATTCAAAGTCTTCGCTGTAACATCTTCAATGATATCCTCTTCGTCGCCGGTAGATTTGTTAGCGATCAACCATTCCAGTACATCCTCTTCTCTGCTCAGCTCACCTGAAATACATACGAAGGTTGGACTGAATTTATTTCCCAAAATATTTAAACTAATAAGTACGATACCACATTTGAAAATAAATAAAACTGAGTTATCGTAAGCAAAAGTATTTCTGAATTCTATTAATGTACGTTAATTCGTTACGCAAATGTTTAGGAACAGACTTGCTGATATTATTCCAAGTCTTAAAACTATTATCCGTTATTTACTAGTGCCAATTTCAGACAGTTACTATCCAACTTATACCTAGCTCTTGCCATTTCTGATTCCAATTATATACAAAAGAAAGTGCTGAGATTAGACATGAACCAGTAGCCATCGTCATCACCATCATCCGTTTCCGTGATACAAACGTCAGCAAACGTAAAATATGAGTCACAAACCTTCATAGATAATAGGTATCTGATGCCTGTAGTACACCAGTCTTGGCAGGTCTCCAAGATTGTACTCCTCGGCTAGTTCCTCGTCATGGATCTTCACGAAACCGATCCCGAGTTGGTCAGCCTCGTCGTCAATGTTCTCCAGCTCTTGCAGAGCCTTTGCACATTTCTTACATTCTGGCTTGTCTGTAACACATTGCATTCTGTTTCATTTTATGACTCGCCCAGATCTCTTTGTGCCTAGTTCATGCCTCGGACGTGAAGCGATGCAGTTAAGTGCCTAAATGCCTATAAGTTTGCTGTGTGTTAAAATTTAGTGTGCAATATAAAGCTGTGTCGTGCAAAAACCTATTAGCTTTATGTGTGGTGGTGGTGTTGCTTTGCCAAAAATATTGTTTCTATAACTATTTTATTATTAAAGCGGGAATATCTGAATGATAAACATCTAAAGGGATTGTGCTAAATCATCATGTAGGATGTGTGTTCACTTAATCAATATTCGGTATCTCTATTATAATCATGTCAATTTATGTTACAGCAATATTTGCATAGGTTTTTTATATTTTTGTTCACATTTATGAAGTGGATGTGTTTCAATATTAACGTGTCTTAAAAGAGAGCATTGTAAACAAAATTATTTGATGGACATGTCGTGAAGACAGCACACTTCATAATATTTAGGTCAAGGTCATCGTATGATCTCATTTAAAACACGGATTTTTAGCGTACCTATTTCAGTACTTCGGAGCGGTATTGTTTGAATATGCACTCCTATTGATTTTTAATAGTTTTTTTCTGTCGTCGTTAAGGGGACGAATGTTCGTCTGACGCTGTAGTCGTGACATGTCGGTCCGTCAATCCGAGCTTGCTGGCGAGACGCAAATAGCACAGCCGAAATAGCTCGCCTCACGGCCCGATAATGCAAACGCGTTTTTGATTCTAGCTTTCCCTTAGACTAGATACACGAATAACGTTAGAAAAGATACTTAATAATATCAACGACTGAACTATTGTTTTGCAGAATCCAATTCAATCATCATAATAATGTAACTATTTCATTGAAAGCGAGTGTTTTGTGAATGTAATTAATGATAATAATACTCGTTAGATTATTACGGTTGAATATAATTTGCTATATGAGTCACATCGTCTCAATATGTTGTATCAGAGCCAATATTTTAATTAGCCGTATTCATCATCGATTGTTGGTTTTAACAGCAGGGTACACGTAGATCTACACCAATTAACAATACATAAGTATTGTAAAAACATCGATACCCTGTATAACATTCGTAGTAAGCATGAAGCACATAGATATGACATAAATACACAAATACAAATCTAATAAGAAAGCGAGAAGAGTAACAGCCAAGCTGACATTAGAAGGATGCATGCCGCCAGCTGAGAATCTTACTTACTGTTTGACGGGCCGCAACTTTTGTGATCAGGACCTACGTCAAAAACACAATCAAAACACACTGCACAATATACAGACGCATGTTCTAACCTCCACTAACAAATATGATGTACACGACTGAGAGGAAGATTATCTAGTCGACAGAGCTACGTCAGAATTTACAGTACCAATTTGATTACGATGGTTAGTTGAAAAAATGGCTCGAATTTACCACAATTGCTAAAATACGATGACAAAACACATAAAATAACACTCCAATACTTACAGAAGAGAACTGCTACATAGTCAGTATCCTCGATGATTTTCGCTAGGATTTTTTGGTTGACTTCTTCTATCCGGTCAGGAAGGTCCATAGCTTCTAAACTCGTCAAGAAATCCAGGACGCTCTCTTCGTCCATGAGATCTCCTAGAATTGTCAAGATTTTCACAAATCTGATTAGTTAATAAGAAAAATTATGTTATATGCAGCACCTATAGATCAGTGTGACATAGGTAAATAATATAATCTGAAAAACGGTAGACCACATGTGGTGCCTACGTTCCTATTACAGTAAAAGTCCTCATTATTATGTGCCCAAAATATTCACTACAGAAAATACAGTCAAAAGCATTAGACAAATCTCAACAAAGCTAATTTATGAAGAACATTCTGAGAAGCTTCATATTGAGGACGTTGCAGAACAAATTAAAGAAGTCAAAAAGATTAAATCACTACTCGTATAAATAGCCGAAATCTGGTATAAGAGCCCAGTTATAAAATTAACAATCAAGGGAAGCCGTCTTGAATCACCGTTTATAATTAGTTGGACAATAAAACTTCAGATAATGTTCACAGAGTTTAGGAGCTTGCTTTATTTTGCAATCGGATCTGGATCGAAAGATTCTTTACATAATGTATCTACATACATTTTCAAGGCTAAAGGATGGGAAAATCATTTCAAATGATAGTTTTCTGCCTGCTAATTGAGTTACATTTCATATTCCGTCCCTAATGTTTTGTTAATAGACAGTTGAACAATCACAATTCATTTTCGAAACGTCATGGTCTCTATTTCAAGCCACGGTACAGCGCTGAACTGTATATCACAAAATCAATTTGCTAATTCTTTATAGCCAATGTTTTTGGGTCGTTTCCATCATTCATTTGGACCACCCAATTCAATTCTTTCGATTTGATAAATGGAAGTATTAAATGAGTTTTAAAGCCAGCAGCTGTTTTCTATTTATAAATGTTTCGTGTAAAATGATCTGATTCAAGGGAGCCCTTTATATTAACAATTCATGTTAGTGATGAACAAAAATATGTACCTATAACTTTTTTCTGTTTCTTACTTTGTACTAGGAACTATATAACTACCAAACACCATTGAATGCCTATTTTTCCGTAATTCTCAAAGATAGCTGATTACATAATTTAACTAGATTTTGGATGGATTCATCAAATAGGTAAGTGTATAGTCTGACCTTCGTAAATGATCGGTTCCTTCTCACGGAAGTACGTGAGGGCGGGGAATTTCGTGATGCCATACTGCTTCGCGAGCCGCTTGTCGTTGATCTTAACGAAGTCCACTCCGAACGTGTCCGTGTCGTCATCAATCTTTTCAAGTTCTTCTAATACCTTGTCACACGTTACACAGCTTCTTGCATCTGTTTATGAAAATGTTTCATCATGGACACTATTTCATTTACTTTTATAATTTTAATGATTCAATTCGATTTAGTTTTTATTTCGTGTCGCGTTGACTTATAAAAATTAATATGTCTTAATTAATTACTGTGTGCCGCCTCCCAACTGAAGACATGCTTTCAAAAATATTAGATGTGATTTCAAACGTGCCGACTGTTACTAGTTCATTAATTCATCTCTTACTACAGTTGCCACGCACTCTTCCTTACATTCGCAGTTTATATACTTATCTCTTATACAATAAATCCTCCAAGTTTGTGGTGCTAAAATTGGTGACTGATCATGGTATACTACAACCAATCATACTAAATACGATTTTAGAAAAACATAAAATACCCCAGCCTCCATTTGCCTATAAAAATGATTTGATAAATATAAAACTCTAGTTGCCATACCGTTTTATGTCTTAATCGTGAAAAAATAAAATCTCAAATAGCACGTGGTCCGAGGTAGATAAAATTATTGCATAAGCAAAATATTTTACGGAAATAACTTGGTATTCTTAGACTGAAAATAGTAATGTGAAAACTGATATGTATAATCGTATCTTTAATTTGGCTCCCGAAATCAGTTCTGTGAAGCTTGATGATTTAGCTAAGGTACTAACAGATGACTGACATGCCAAGAATTACACGAATGGATAAGAAACATTTGTTACGTATTGCGTATATTTATGATTGTTACAAAAACATTTCTGAAACCCACGTAAATGATCACTACAAATTCAAAACCGATTTCATATCAATGGTTTACAACAAACGATGAAGTGTTGAAAGCACAACAATTGAATCGTTTATCTTACTATAACCTTTACTTCGATCGCGTAGTCAGGCAAACATAAAATATGTATATATATCTACAATATTTACTGTTTTCATCATCACTGTATGAAGATGAAAGTTTTGCAAAGTAACATTGCAGTTATACGTATTTCAGTTTACTACCTTTACATATGAAGTGCTTTCCCATGAAAATGACGTGTTTCCTGTGACATCTCCCGCAGCGAAAAGTATCCCTTGTCAGTGTCACTCTCCACCAGGGCTTTAACTATTTCGACACAAAAATTCATGTTAAACTGTCACTCTTTTTCGACATGAAAGATGAACAACCTTTAACGTTTTAAACTGTCAAACACCGAGCGGTCACCGGTGACCACAACCTATTGTTCTTTAATTGTGTCTATAATGACGGTACTCAACGAGTTAAATACTTCAAAGTTATCAATGTAAACGTTAATATGAAATTCATGTTTGATTTTTCTAATAAAAACTTCTATTTGTTTTCTATCTCTATTTTCTTTGGCAGTTTTGTTTTCAGAAATTATTTTATTGACCATGTCACTGTTATTTCTATTTGTAAACCATTTGGACCACATTCAAGTTCTGTGTTTAACACTTGACAGGTATCTATTGTTCTTTACTGTAACCGTCTGCGTCCAATGTTGATTTTTACATATGTGACGCAATAAACAGCATTAACCTCACTATAAGAAAATAAACTCATAAATTCGTATCGAATGAAGAAGTCGCGAGGGTTTCGAGTTTGTATTTACGACGTACTAGTACCTGAACCAACATAACATTCAATTCGTAACCAATGTTGCTTTTAATTTTATTAGCTTTTGCCAGTTTTATAATGCTTCAAGTACACGTTTTCCTAGTACTACAAGGTTCATACAAGCAAATTATTCATCGACTACTGAAGCTATTAAATCAGACGCACGATGATGGAAGTTTGGAACCTCATGTAAGCGTGTTTGTTCTTATATAAATTCTTGGTTTATTTTTATCTTAATTGGTGCAACTGAGCATCTGGTTACTTTAATAGTACCTACACTGCCAAGATTAGTTTGTCAAAAGATAACCGTCTAAGTTGTAAGGAGCTTTGAACGTTTTTTTTCAAACATATTTTCTTGCATTGTAAATAATTTTCGATTTCTTCATTCAAAAATGAACGTAATGCAAATAGATTTTCACAGTTTTCAACACCCATCCCACACAATTCCATTTTGCTCACTACAAAACATCGAATCACACCATACGTTCATCTTACACAAATGACTATTTTGTGTTTTAATTTGAGGAGCCGAGGTCATTGCCATGTATTCGGCTATGTTCCAATTTCGAACAATCCTCTGAAACATATTTTTTAATGATAGATAATAAAATAATCCCACTAATAGCTAAGCCAAAGGAACCAGTGGAAACCAGAACAAGAAACAACGATGAATAATAAGACACACGTGAATAAAGAATTTTTGGATGAACTTATTTGTTAAATGTAAAGAATAGTCAATAATATATATCAATATATATTAGCAACATGTCGGTAGTCAGTACTAATCTAAACTAATCACTTTGTAACAAACATAATGAAGCCGACACTTGTATTATAGTCAATGTCTGTCTGGCTATAGTATACTGAACCAATGAAATATGGCTACGGAAAATTACAAAATGGGATGTGGTGTAAATGACGCTGACGACTTGGCTAGGAACTAAAGTATTTCTAAATACGTTGACATTGAGACAAACGGTGAATGGACTCAATGTGCAGAACTATGGACGTATAGAAAACAGATCCAAAAGTTATAAGTAGATAATTTCTTCAATAGAAGGAGAAGAGCGTTATAGTAATTACTAAATACAGCTGTTCTTCCGCGACCTTACCCAACATTATGAATAATAAAATATTGACTCATTAGAAGTATATACTTACAATATAGAGTACCTACCTAATAATAACATAGGCGAAGCTCTGTTGCAACGATACATGAGTATGCAGGACATGCAAAACAATTACGACGCCTGCGCACGTGTTGAAGAACATATTGTATATTTAGTTTACTAAAACGAAATCGTAGAATAAGAAACACAAGTAATTATTTTGTACCTGGATCTAAGTAGATAAGTCTTGTCGATCGAAAGCTTTATACAAGTCTAAACATGTTAATTTGGACTTGTAAGTTATTTGAAAACTATTTAATGTATGGAAAGCTTACCCCAAATTCAAACAAACTTAACCGTAATGTCAGTTGCTAACCAAAAGCAGGTGCTTACACAAGTGGCATCTGGAAACTATTTGCTTTTTCTAATGACTATAATTGTTGCGATTATGTTGCTATACGAATTTCATTCATGAACTTTAAAATTAAACATAATGTGTTCAAAGAAAACATCGTATCCTGCGTATTTAGGCCACTAGAAGAATTTGAAACCACTTGTTTTACAAAACTTGCAAAATCCTTCGTTCTATTCAAAATTTGTTTTCATTTTCTAATCAATTGGTTTCTCTTTGTGCCACTTTCATCGCCTATGTTTCTGTTAGATTAGGTTAATAGGTATTTATATTTTAATGTGGTCTGGTCTGATCAAATCCACTACATTCCATTGCAACTATACGTAACACACGGGATATTTTGAGATTCAAATTATTTAGTTCATCTCCAGCTTTTTGTTTATTTCACTGAATGTCTTCCACTGTTTAAACACAGTTTGTCATTGTGTGAAATATTTATTTTGAATTCGTTTGTGCTGTAAGCAGATGCATTTCAATTTGTCTTTCTTTGAAGTTTTTAACATTAGCTTCCAAGTATTGGTAACAAACATTTATCAACAGAGGTATAAAGCAAAGAATCAATAGGAGGATCAGGTCTTTAAGAGGTCACATTTCTCAGAACTGATTTTTCAATCAAGCACGGGAAAGAAATAATTATTGACCTTAAAAAAGACCTAAAAAGAGTAAATCTAAGGATTTTCCTCTTCTATCCAATAGGTGTCTTTTCCATTCAAACGATTTTAGATTAATATAACTAAAAAGTGATTTACGTCAGGATCTAAAATGAGCACTTAAAGAATCTTCATGATGTCCATTAAACTAGTTGTATCCATAGTATGAAATAGGTATGTCAGGTGTTGCTAGAATATTTTAATTTAGATAAATAAGTACCTACTCAATTTGATTTTATATCACCTTATTTTAGAACTTTAGTTCTGTAGATAATCTACGTGTAAATCATATGAATGTAAATACAAAAACTGGTACTGTTTATTTACAATTATGTCTAACTAATTCAAGGAACTCGAATGTTCATCAAATTGAAGTTCCATGAACATTATGCAATAAAAATGCTCGTTAGTTTCATAAATTAAAAATTACTATTAGGCATTTATTGCTCTGTGCTGGGTAAAACTCATTACTGTAAAATGAACCGATTTACTACTGCCTTGTGGCACTCCTCTAATACGCTCGTTCAAAACCGCGTGTGGCAAAATTATTCACAACTTTTATAAGCTTTTTATAATACTTTATTTGTGAACATATATCAGAATGACGTGAACACCGACCCCGTTTCGTATATCTATAGTTATTTTCGGTGTCTTCTGATTCATATGGTGAGGAGAAACGAATGCGTAAGAAATTCTCAATGACGTTGACAACGAACGTTAATTGGCAGTATGTCTGTGTCGTTCAGGGTACAAGTTCTTTACGAGGCATTTAGTGTTAGATTGCATAAAGACTACCTACATGACAATGACAAGAGTTACATGTCACTCAAAGAAAAATTTACAATATCAGAAACACCAGAAAAACGTGGCTTTTAAAATAATCTATATATTTTTGTTATCTGGAACCATTCATATCTTTGCGATGAAACAAAACTAAATTTTGGTGCTTCTGATGGTGTAGAGCTAAAAAAAATATATAGAATTCCGTACCTATACCAAAATATAGAAACGAATAAACATTTATTTACTCGGATAGGAAATTCTTTCCTAATGCATCAGATGATATTGACATTTACACAGGTGTACTCAGTAACTGCAATGTAATGGCACGTCAACTCCTGTTTGATATCTAGATTAGGCACCATTTAAACGCGCCTGATCTAGATATCTAATGCAAAATTCTACTTCTTTGCCAATTTACCTCGACTTTTTCTATTCACCATAATTTCACCTGTCGGCTGGCAATTTTACTCTCAGTTGGTAATTAGCTCGATGTCTTATTTTGATATAGGCAAAAGAAATATAGAAGTTAGAAGAAAGATCAATTACGACTATCTACCAATGTTAATATGACATTAGCATTTTGATATTTGGCAGTAACAACACTATATTTGATATGTTAAGAATGTCGGACGAGGAAGTACGTCAATGAGAGAGCGATCAGCATTAATCTCTTCGATGCAGTTAGACAGTGAACTGACGGTGATGAGTAATTTAATTGACATACAAGACGATCACTTATATTCGGCATGGCATACCACGAATTCTGTGACATAACATTATAAATATTTTCAAAATAACTCCTGAATGTTCTAGAATTCGTGTTATTGTTGTAGATGCGCTCATGTGTGGAATTTCGTTGAAAATTTAAATCATTCGACAAAGCTACTTTACGTGGGGAGTCAAAAGCCTCTTCAGAATCTACACAAAAGCGTTAAGGTGTATCTCAGGGTTCGATAACCACGTTTTTTAATTCAGTCACATGTTTGGGTTATGACCTAACATTATTCTATCTTTCCAATATATCGATTTTTGAGAACCATATTATGACAACTATACACCACGTGTTGCGAGGTCACATTCAGCTTGCTAGGTAAATGGGAACTAAAAGTTTGTTTTGCAAAATATGTATGACTTAATTGTGGCTGTTTACCTCTTTACTGCATTCTGTAGCCCATTCTATGATCACCAATACGATAGTTACCGACCTACAGCATCTTTAATATTTCATAAGCAAAATGGCTATCCATACATCATCAGCTCTTGTTAATTTGTTAAAATTAATGTATTCTTGTACACATTTTGAAGCAATTTTCATTAATCCAGGAATTAATGCTAACATTCTTGATTTTGGAAGTATTCCAATTGAAACAGTTGTACGAGCACATTTTCGTAATTATGTCTTTTCTGTAACACTTACTAGCTGACCAGAGCCTATTTTTGTAACACAAAAAACATTTCATGACGGCTTTCATGATATCAAGGGGCCGTGTCGCTTCACATCTATTTGATTTTATTTTGTGTTCAAATAATTCTAGCCATTAATATTTAGAACACGTTATTTAATGTCCAGATGTGCCTACATATCTACTAATATTTTGTAAATAACATTTTTAGTACTGAGTTAATGATCACATTGAAAAATTTTATCAATAGGTATCTTGTTGGTAGTTTGCAAGAAGTATGCGAAAACAATTCGATTTTTTCTTAGGTATCATTTGATCAACTAAGTTTTAAGTTACCTACCCAAAGATAGTGTTTGTTATTGTTTATGTTTGTTTTATTTTCCACAATAACTTTCCCAACGTGGTTCAAAAAATTCGTCAAGGCAACGAACAACCTTCTTAAACCGATCCTAATAAAACCTAAAGAAAACTATTTTCTTAGTACACCTACAGTAGTAGCTCGGAACAATTTAGTCTCTCAGCCAAGAAACAATCTTGCATCGGTGCCGTGTTCGACAGTGATTTATGACACTTTTTGTGTCCCGACCAGCTACTGCATCCTTCAGATGAGTGAGAGATGCATAATAGGCATGGCAACGACTACATATACGTCAAGATAATTAATGTATATCTGACGAATTAGCTTATGTCTACATTTGCTTCCAACTCACACACTCATATGCACACACGCACAGCTTGCACTTTTATGAAAAGATCATTGCGAGGAATGTGACGTAGTAACAAACAGATCACATCGACAGTTGGCGACAAAAGAAAATAGTCGGAATGCCGATACCACGTAATGGAAGTCTATTTCAGCGGCAAATGCGGCGGCACACGGTTTTAGCCGAGCTAAGAGCGTAGGCGCCTTGCGACCTTGGCGGAGCCAGCATCGGTGGAACGGTGGAAAATGAGACTCGGTACCATTTTAGGCCGCGCCGACGGCCGCAGCGGTCGGCGGCCGGGTCAAGTTTTATTGTCTCCGCAGCTCGGTTGCATAACTCGCGAATCGCAAACCGAGCCGCTCGCATCGAAAATATCATGCGCACGACCGAAAGCTCGAGTCCGCTGAGGCGGTCTTCCCCTAGGCTCGTCCGAAGATCATTAACTCGACGATAACCCATTTGGACGGGCGCCGTCGCAGACGTTTCGACACGACGACGACCGCCCCCGCCCTGGCCGACGGCCAGCTTTCGAAAGCTCGCAAAATTAAACGGAGACGCGCGCCGGTCGGCGAGCAGCGGGCGAGTGGCCACTTACACCAGTACACCGCGACGAAATCCTTGTCTTCCAGCACTCTCTCCAACTGTTTAGCGGTGACCTCCTCGATCTGGGGCTCGTGTTTGCTCGGGGCGGGGGATTTACGCGCGCTCGCGGCGGCGGCGAGCAGCAACACGACCGCCAGAGCCTGCAGCCACCGAGCCATGGCGAGGGCGCGCGCGGACTGACCGGCCGGCCGCCCGCCCTGCGCACGCGCCGCCCGCCCCCGTCCCCGCCGCCACGCATGCGCACAACGCCACTGCCCCGGCTCCCACACTGCTTCGCCTTTGTTTACATCGCGACGCAATGCCTCCGGTCTTACAAACACAGTCATAACCAGTAACCTCTATCATGTTAGTGTTGTATGGGAAAAGTTTACTTCAAATTAATTAACTAAGTAGGCACCTGAAGGAAAACCTATTACCAATCTATTTAGGAATTAGGTAAAGCTTTTTCCGATAGGTAGGTATACCTAATTACTGTTACCTACTATTGTTTAGTTACATTCAATATTTGTTATGGCATACTGCAGCAAACGAGCAGACGGATCACTAAACTAATAAACAATCGGCGCCGCCCATAGATTTTATTTTATTTTTGTACTCGTGTGTTACTATTAACATAGTTTTTTAAGTTTGCACTGTTTACTAACACTATGGGCCGGCGACGACTGAAAATAAAAGGTTTTTATTTTTTTTATTATTTATAGAGGTTCCAATTGCAAGTGTGTTGCCGACCGCCCCGTTGGGATTTGAGGATGGGATATTTAGGGGTGAATCGGGCCTCCGGTAACCTCACACAAAAGGTGAAATACAACGCCATCGTCTCACGCTGGTTTTCTATGAGGCCGTGTTGGTCTGTTGGTACCCCGGTCGATCCGGCAAGGTCGCGGTCGTACCAAAGTATGGTTCTCTTCCAAGTAAATTAAATTTGATTTCATAGGTACACGTTAAAGCAATATAAATTAATGTAGAAATTATCAATAAAGCGAATTTTAAAACATATCGACTTATAAAATGATATAATTTTCTACCTTCAGGTATTTATTATAGGACGGCGCCGTCGACTTTCCAAGTAGCGTCAAGTTTAAAAAAATATTCCTTTTCACTTGATTTTATTTACTCAATATAATCGAATCAGTAAAATTTAGATTATCACACTGTTTTGATTTCCCGCTAAAACTTTTGAAAAGTTGAAAACTCAAAATCACTCTAGCAGCAACAAAATAAACTAACAGAACACATTTTTGAACGAGTCATAAGTAGTGAGTGGACCTGGAAAATGTCAACCTGTTGTTCAGTGTAGTAACCATGCTACTTATATTGATATCGATACAAAATATCATAGCTGTAAGTATTGATGGAAATACAAAATACATTTTAGTTGTATAATCAGCTGCGTGGTCTGGATAAAACATTTATTTTAAATATCTTATTTTGTCTTAATAACTGTTTTGTAATTATTGAAGACCGCTCAATGAAGAGGTCTACTTTCTTTTTCCAAATACAAAACTTCATACTGCTATTTGTAAGTAATAAATATTATAGCGGTTTATGGCTGGTTTGGTTTTGTTCTTCTTCGTACTATAAATTACTATAAATCTGAAAAAATACTCAACACTCCTAGTTTTATTTTTGATTAACACTAACTGTGTTAACATCAATAATATTTTTTACAGCAATTAAACAATAAACGAATGGAATATCGATATTCTACGCTGACGAGTTATCGAAGCAGTAACGTCCCTATGAGACATGAGTCAACCAATCAGCGACAGCCGCAAACGTCATTTGTCACGTGGAGGGGAACGCCGGAGAGTGGTTTCCGAACGGAGAAGGCAGCGTTGGTAACTTTTTGTTTCGCAGTCTCGCGCTGTTAACAAATTCTCGTGACGCGGCCGGTTGCAATAAATAAGTTCGACTTTGTGAATGTGAAGTGCCTTGTGAATTATACAATGGATATTATTTATTAACTACCACAGTACTGTGCAAAGTGTTGTAATTATTTCTTCGCAAAGTTCTGGTAAGTTTTGTTTTGTATAAAAGTTTTCAATTTTTCATTACATTCGTTTTACCTGGTCGATGTATTGTTTGATTCAGGCGCAATCTTATCACGAATTTATACTTCGATAGTAAATTTTGTGCTGTTTAGTCAGAAATCTTATGAGAATCTAGTTAGATCGCCAAAGGGTGAAAAAATAGTAATAAGTAAACGACATTTTTATGTTGATAGGTTTTTGTTTTATAGAAATGGGCCGATTTTTGGCAAATCTACGATTATTCATCTGCACAGCATACGTCACGAATTTAGAATATTTACTCTTGACTTGTGTATTACTGATTATGACGAAATTATTTACTTTCTTTGTTTAGAAGTCTTCTCATTAGTTATTTAAAATTATATTAATTTTTATTAAAGACTTACACATTAATAATGTTGTTTATTAAAAATTAACAGTTTAAACTAAGCTCAAGGTTTTATTATTGTTAACATGACAGAGTTCTGGTTTCCTCCTGTACCTAAATCATATTAAGTACTATTTTTTGTTACCTATTGCACACTTTATTCTAACTGGAATAGAAGTTTCAATTAGAAAAAAACCTTCAGTAACCAGCAGGGTATTATCAGATGTACCTAATTTTAAGTATTTCTTCTAATCGTCAGACTTAGGATTCAAATGTAATAGTTTCCATAAAACAATTAGAAATATAAAAATGAAAAAAAAATTGGTACACACTATTTTAGACCTTAGTAAAATCGTTTTCAGCTCAAATTACTTTATAAGCCCGTTCCTAAGGGACACCCCTAGCAATAGCTACCTAAATTATTTCTAGGGATGTTCCTTAAGTAGGGGCTTGCCCTTGCTAAAGAAAATTTATAGTAATGTAAGTAGTGTCTACCAAATTTTTTTTATTTAATCCTTGTATTTTTTGCTCCTGTACTGTTTCCTAGCTAGCATAGTACATAAAGGTTGTTTAACACATTATTATAATAACTGTTGGTCACAGATAACACTATTCTTCTTCAAAATAATGCTGAAATTTAAAAAAGATTTGATGACATTTAAATAGGTAATATTATGAGTAAGTTATAATTGCCTGCCAACTCATTGCCTATGATATTGAAGTTATCATTATCTAAGCTACCTGTTTCTTGATATTAATTATATTTTGTTCTTTGATAGTATAATTTGATTACTAATCTACATTATTAGTAGCTACGGCTGTGTGTTTGGGCTCACTGATCGACTCTTCTTGGTTGTAGTATAATGATTTATGCCATACAACGTTCTTAGATGAATGCATTCTTTACCACTAAAATATTTTTTTTTAAACAGTATTTTTCGAGATGAAGGTATTCAGCCAAACAATCAAATTCCTCAGCTGTTTAATTTTATAAATTACGACAGTTATACTACTATTTAGAAATAGCAATGAATGCATTTATTTGATAGCAAAAGGAAGCGGGCCACATCTTTATCAATATTATGTTTGTAAGATTACATCAATGATTTTTATCATTTATAAAGTTGTGATAAAAAGGCTTTGTTCTGAACAATAAACCGCGCGGCCATTGTTTCGTGGCCAACACAGAAACAATAAAAAAAAATTGGCACATCTGGGCCTCAATCATGGTTAATGTTTTAACGAAATTGGGGAAACGGTGATTAGGAATTTTGTTTGCAACTTGTGGCTATTTTTAGACTGTTGAAACTATCAGTGTTCATCTGATATCTAAAATAGCTTGTGCTTGGGGTTTTTGTAGTTAGTAGTTAATAGTTATAAATTGCACTTGTGAATCATTTGGTTAAAAACAATGGTTTTAGAGCAATTTTCCTCTATGCTCGCTGCACAGTCTAATAAAATATTTAAACCCAACTATTTTACTTTCTTAACCCTTTGAGTACCGTCATTATAGACACAATTAAAGAACAATAGGTTGTGGTCACCGGTGTCCTCGCGGTGTTGGACAGTTTAAAAAAGTATTAATGAAAATTAAACTGCATCAAATTAAATCAAAGAATATAATAAGTTGAATGAAATATTTGGTATAGTATTAGTTCACCAATATTCATGAATAATTTTGTGTATCCGTTTTGTATCACAAGACTATCTTTTGATATCCAACCACAAACACCAACATTACTTATCAACAAGATAAGAATGACCAATGACTAATATTCTAGAGACTTCTAACCAATTCACTTGATTATCATAATAATTCTTTAAAACTAATGTAAATCTATTTCAATTAATATTAAAATAATCATGTATAAGCTCCTTGCATTTAATCCTACTTATTCGTATTAAGACACTCTGGAAGTGTCAAAATAACTAGAATAGTCTGTCAGACTGTCAGTGAAGCAGTAATTTGCAATATAAGATTAAGTAATAATAATCTGGTGGTTTATTACCTATGTGTAAGCAATTATCCTGTTCGACATGTCTGTTTGATGCATGATATTATGTACCATTCCAACCGTAAGTCCTGGCAACATTTGCTACGTAGCTCGTAGCATTAATTTGGTTACCTTGGCTTGATTTTATTACCATTTCATCGAAGCCTTTTTTATCAACTGCAGCGGTGCCGACATTCCAATACGTACATGTACGACTGCAGGTATAAAATTCCCTCATAATAATTATAAATCATTTACGCCGCAAGATAATAGCACCGGCGTGATAAACTTCAGTACTCGTTCGTAGAACAGCGATTATCGCTATCAAACATATCGTCAACCTGATATTGTAAGGACGCTTATCATAAGGAGTTCAGTGGCTACGTGTCAGTAGACTAGTGAACATCCAACATGGGCGACTATCGTGCGGGTAAAGCCGGCATCAATGCTGAGGCTCAGGCCAGGATCAACAGCAAATACAACGAAGAAATCGCACAGGAGACCCTAGAATGGATCCAGAAACTGACCGGTGAACCCGCTGACACGTCTGGAAGCGCTGAGAATTTGTACAGCGTCTTGAAAGATGGCACCCTCCTCTGCAAACTCGTCAACGTTCTGCAGGAGGGCTCCGTAAAGAAGATCAACCAGTCCACCATGGCCTTCAAGTGTATGGAGAACATAAATGCTTTCCTGGATGCTGTCAAGAAGCTGGGAGTACCACCACAGGAGACTTTCCAGACCATTGATTTGTGGGAGAAGCAGAACCTGTATTCTGTTGTGGTGTGCCTGCAGTCGCTGGGACGTAAAGCTGGCAACTTTGGTCAGCCGTCCATCGGACCTAAGGAGGCTGACAAGAACGTGCGTGAGTTCAGCGAAGAGCAACTGAAGGCTGGCCAGAATGTCATCTCTCTCCAATACGGTACCAACAAGGGCCAACAATCCGGCATCACATTCGGCAACAGGCGCCAAATCTAAACCCTAAATGTACATAATTTATGATTAAAGTGTAACAAAATAATAAATAATTTTGTATTTTTTTATGTTTTTCTTTCATTTGTTGAAACAAGGTGTGGTTTTGTCTCTAAGTAACGTAATCACAGATTAGATAACACAAGTACATTGGTATTTGCACCATTGCACTCAAGTTTCATGGATTAGGTACTATCAGTGGCTTGGAATGTTTCTTTTGGAAACACCATCATAAATTCATAAAACCTGCAAGATTTTATTAAGTTTTATGCATTAGTTCCCTATATCCTTTTAACAATCGTAACGTAGTAGTTACACCAAAGAAACATGTTGAAACAAAATCATGTAACCCGACCTCAAGTTAAGCAGTAAGTGTTAATTGCTGTACTTAACCATAATAAGCATTTTCTTTGGAATGATAGGACAAAGGCATAATTCGAAGGTTCCTAGATTTTCTTTTGGCTCCTGTAGGTGCAATTTATCCGTAACATCTACCCATTTTTCATTTGTCAGATTTCGTAATATGTTAAATTACTTGAAAGTTATTGATGATGATAACCAGGCAACGTCTGGACGCACAAGATAAGGATTTATCGTAAATAATATCGAAAAGAATTAGCCTTATTGCATTTTTCCTCGCTTTAAGGATAAATCTTGCGTAATTTTAATTTGAAATTCAGCTAATGATATCACTATATTAAATGATCTCATTGAAAAACTAGGAATCGAATGTGATTAATTTGATTTAGATAGAAATGTTTAAGTATTTGTAATACAAAGAATCAAGTATTCTAAAGATAAAAGAATTAATTTTATCATTGCTCAACACTCACACGTTTCCAAGTGACATAAATTGACATAATTGGTCATGTTCCCAAGGCAATTATACCTTGAATGCACAGGCTAGGGTCTCCCATTCAAAGTATAAATAAAACAATGACTAAATGTAGTATATAGTTAATATACCTTGTATAGTTATTTTGATCATGCCCTTGAACTCTAAAATGAAATGAAATGACCTAAACATCAGACATACGTGTGATGTGCACAGTGTGACGATGGTTTTGTGGATGTTTTATAAATCACCTGCGTTTTAGTGTATAACTAGTTATATCCAGTAACTTATATTTTATTAGCTGTGTATTTGGTATTCGAAAGGTTAGTTAAAAAAGTACACATCTCATTTTGATCAAGTCAGATGGTGATTAGTATTGCCCAAAACATGATGCATTTTTTATTCATTGTACTAAATAACTATACTATACAGAAGTGCAGCAAGTTGTCGTTTTTTCGATAAAAAAACAATTGGAGATAATATCTGAATTTTTGGCATACATTTACGTAAATTACGATAAAAATAATTCACCTAATCATTATTGCAGACAATAATCTCTGTCGATTTTTTCGGTGTACAATAAAGTTCAGTTCATATTTTATTTATTTAGCAAAATGTCGAGGGGAAATCGCTCCCCTCTTTGTACCTTGCTATTTGATGACGTCATTTAATATTGATCTAACTTGCAGCCACGGTTGCTAAGCATGAAATCCCTCGCCCTCACAAACGATAGCAGTTTTGAGGCAGCTATTGAGAACGACTTACGTAATCGTGTCGTTATATCCGCCGACTCCATATAACAATACTTATATTGCAAGTCGCCTGAACACTGCAATTAGACAAACAAGCTATTACCATTCTTATGACTAAAACAACAGCTCTTAGATTGCTCTAACCGAATTTTAGATAATGAAGCCTGAAGCCGTGCAACCGATCAAGGACAATCAAGAGAGATAAATGTGGTTGCAATCGATGTTTTCTAATAACTTAATGGTTATTGCTGCTATTCATTGGAAATGGACTCATTGGATCCTTTTAGACTACGTAATGTACAGGCATTACTGGAAATGAAAGGCAATAGCTATCTTCCAAGAAAATCCTTTTGTTCAACTTGTACTTACTCCTAGTTTTTGCTGGGCGTAGCACGAACTGCATTAGTGTTAAGGTCTTACTTCAAATTGCATTGTAAAACGATTGTTTCTTAATTACACTTTTTATCAAAGTATGCGTTTGCATAATACAGATAGAAGAAAGTCACAATATAATCAATCTTATTATTTTGCAGTTTATAAACTAACAGGTGCTGGTGTGATTCATCAAAATTATAACGAGATGACTAGACTACTAAGTAATAAAGTTCTGTAGTTTCTAATACCTAGCTCCGGTTTGTCGTACGATCATGGATGACTTTAGTAATCACATGACGTCTTATAAAGAAATCCCAAACAAAAATCCAAAATTAAAACAATAATAGAACAATAGTGATAAGTAGTACGTGCGGTAATAAACATGTAACATTCTCATCATAAAAAATGGAGGTTTGGCATTTTTAATGTTAACAACATTATCATCGTTAATTCTATTTCATTTATGTTGAATGTTGACGTCACAGTCATTAGCACGGCTGCAAATGTCCGTCATGGTCGTGTCAGCACCCCACAACGGAAGGTACGGTCACGCGCCGATAGTAGCGGAAATACGGATATCCGAATAGGACAACACTAAATTGTTCACAAGAGTAAAAGAGACATGCAATCACGCACGTGGGCATTGTTTTCTGTCTACAGTGACTAATAAGCATTATGTTAAAACCAGAGAAAGTATTGTTGTCTAGAACGAAAATCCATTTGTAGCCCAAAATTCAATGTCGAGCTCGGACATCGTCACCAATGACAAAAGAGGCTACAGTCACACTTACAACGCTTTGTTCACCTTCAAAATTATTCAATGAAACAAAGAGTTTTAACAATAAATAATCATTTAAACAGTACAATTAGATAGATACAGCTCTTTGTTAGAATATGATCAGCAGATAAGTAAAACTTATAACTGCGTCATTTCAGCTTGCAATGTCAATTATTTCAAATGCAAAGTGTATACAATCACTCGAAAGTCAAATTAAATAAGGAGTCTATCGAAAACTGTTTACTCATAGCTTTCCATTTCATACACACATGAATAAAATTTAACGATACTTATCAGTAGAAAGCCTTTGGAAACAACTTATAAAGTTCTAAGACGAGGCTATCGCCACTTCATAACGATGATTTAGCAACATCAACGAACAAATCTTAGATTGTAACGACCTTACTGTTTAGAAAGTGTCGATTTTTAAGCAAAATAGCTACGGGTTCATCAGCTCTGGTATTTACGGGGCTGTTGCACCATCTCTGACGATTCAGCATTCCCACGTTATACGATATCGATCGTTCTTGCAAGGCTTCTGTACGTTACGCTACAACGGCTCAGCTTGCCTTCTTGTCCGAAGGCTCTTTTACCGTTACGGTACCGGGCCGGTCGAGCAGATTATCTGGCACTAACGGGATGATATCCGTTTTACGATCGCAATGGTAACTCTGTAGCAAAATCGTAATGTAACTAATTGCATCGCTCATTACTTCTATATCGAAGAAACTTTTCTCTGAATGCTGCATTTGCGTGTCATTCCACTAATTGTTGTTCCGTACACATTTTAACAATTTCTATGTCCAGGAAATGTGCCATGCCTAGCGTGTAAAATCGTTTAATTTATCTCGTGTATTTTGTTTTTGTTAGATGGTATTTCATAAATTACTAGCGGCAAAGAATTTCTTGTAGATCAACGTTACAGTTTCCTATTTTTAAAATCACCGTAGCGTGCAGAACAGCTGAGATTTGGCGTGATTCAAGTAATTAATTTTGGTTACGTCATTTACAATTGCAGTGTTGTACTACTTCCATTACCACGTATAATACAGATAATATAAAGCACATGTCTTTACGAGTTTACGTACGACTCGCTCCGTTCACCTAGTTTCCTTTGTTTTGGTTATTTATTAAATTATCCGATCTGGAAGTGGTGTTGTATCATGTTTCGGTTACGTAATGTCTATTGTTTTCTTTTTGTGATTTTCTTGTAGCGTTACTTCCTACTTTTTTGGTACTTAACATCGTCTTTTATTACTTTGTTTTCTTTACGTCTCTTCAATTTTTCCACTCTGAAATTTTTTATTATTTAATAATATTAAGTCACTGTAGTTATACGTATTATAGGATTTCTTCTTGTCATTTTCTTAATATTATTTTACTTTACTTTTTTTCGTAAAAGCCGGTCAAACGTGTTTCCCATTTCTATATCATCTAGAAACTTCCCTTCGGTTTATTTATATTCCACTGCGCCATTCAGTTTTCCGTCATTCGACCACGTCATTTCAGCTAGGGGAGTCGGGTATCAATTGATATGGCCCTGTACTCGCCCCAAGCTGATTTATTCGTTAACCTGTGCTGTATTGATACAGCTTGACCTCATTGATGGTGACATTTGTAATTGGCAATTGCCTTTGATATGTTCGTTGTTAGTTTTAATAACATGTGCTAATGACAACGTACGTCTAGGTCTGATGTATGCAATATATGAATGGAATGTAATAAGCAGGCTCATATACAGTAAATGATCTCAGGAAGACTAGGTTGTTTTACTTTTTGCAGCAAGACGTGTAATAATGATAAATCCTGCGAATCGTAGAGATTGTAAAGCATTTATCAGTTTTTTACTTGGAGCAAGGTAAAAGTCATTATTTTTATATTGCAGTCTAATATCTTCCAGTTACTAACTTATTGTTGCATCGGTTATCTCTAATAGAAATCACTTTCGTCTTGGTTAAGTGGGGTTGATTTTTTTTGTGGGATAAGCCGGTAAACTGGTAGACGGTTCACCTGATGGTAAGCCATCGGCGTCGCCCATGGACACCTGGAACACCAGAGGCGTTACTTAGTGCGTTACCGGCCTTTTGGAATTAGGATTTTGAGGATTGTTGGAGATTCAATTGGGGGGGTGTAATTGGGTCTTTGGTAACCTCACGCACACGACAAAACACAACGCAAGCGTTTTTTCACGTCGGTCTTCTGTGAGGCCGTGGTATCACTCCATGTAAGATTCCATGGTAAATTATTTAATGGGTTGACACCTTGT